TTGGTTTAGTGATTTTTGGGGTTTTTTCCCTAGGTCTAGAGGGTTTTCTCATTTTTCCTGCAGTGTTGCCAGCATCCTTCCAGCTTTGTATGAAATTGCCTCTCTTTTCAAACAGCAACTCGGCATTTTTGTAGGGATAGAAGATGAAGCAGCACATTTCTGCCACAGCAGCAGCAGAACTCTCATCTGACCAGTATCCACCTGTGTCTAATTTCCCATGCCTGCAGGGGGAGAATAAATCCTAAATGGGGTGGGTGGTGAAGGGGAATAGATTTGGCAACCTTGCTCCAAAAGGAGTCGTCTGAATTTGGGATTGAGCTGGCATATCAGAGATGGGCACCTGGTGCGATATTTTACATTATTGCCAGGATGGAGCTAAGTATGGGCCCAGGATCAGCGCTGCCAAGAGGAAAGCAAATAGGTTTGTGGAGGAGATAATCCAGGAACTGCTGCATCATTCCCAGCACAGGCTGGCTGGCTGGAGGTGGTTAATCACCCCCAGTTAATTCCTCAGGTGTTTTCCGTTCAGGATTGAAATTGCTGTCTGTGCTGCCGCTGTTCTGTGGGCAATGAAGGATAATCCACTTGGCACCTCCTGGTAGCGTGAACTCCACACACAACGAATCCATTTGCCAATTTTGAGTGACTCTGCTGCAAAGAAACTCATCTTTCCAGAAAGATGAGAGTGTGGGGTGTTGGTGGAGATTGAGTCTGGTGTGGATCATCTCCGTGTGTGCACCACGGCCTCGGTGGGGGGTGCTTAGACCCTGAACAACATCTGACACCACGACGTCAGGGACCGAGGCTTCTCGTTTCTCAGAAAGACAAAAGCTAATACAGTGAGCTTGTTTACTTTGCTGTCTGCAAGGAAGAAAGGCAATAAATGAGTTATCCTCATGCTTTTCCAGGAGGAAAGAGCTTAGATTGCAACTCAGCACAAATCTGTAACCGATGGAAAAGTCTCATTTGTTCCAGGAGAAACTATCTTTTTAAGGGTCGTGCTGAATCTGGGCTATAATTAAAACAGCCTTTTAAAGAAAAAGAAAAACAGTGGATGTTTTTCTGGTTTGATGTATTACCTATCACTAATGACCCTCTTTTCTCATTTCCATTTTAAAAAATGGATATAAGCAATTAGCTGTGTATTGCACAAAAGTAGCATTACCTGAGAAAATAATTAAGATGATCTTGAAATTAAGGAAATCAGTTTTGAAGAGAAGCAGGTGCTTAATGGAGGTGAGACCAGCTGTGCTTCCTAGGAACGTGCTTGAAGTGCTTCATGGAAAAATGTGCGAGGCCTCCACACAACACTGGAAGGAAATTTATAATAATTCAGACAAATTGCATCCTATAAATAGCCGAGCTGGATTCATTAGGACAGGAGGCAGATGGAGAAAATATAAAACTTGTTTGTTTCCTTTTAAGGGACTGTAACGCTTATGAGAAGTGTCAGCTCGCTGTCAATGAGGGAAAAACCCTCGGGTGCAGCAGGAATGTTCTGGCTATTAGGTTCTCATCTCTGCTAATGAGCAGCCACCCACCAGGGCATGGGAAGGCCTTGGTTTGGCAGCTCCTGCCACCCCTTTCTGGTGTCCCAGGCTGGCACCGAGGGGCTGGGGGCACGGAGCCGGGGAGGGAGGATGGAATTCCCTGTCTGGAATTCCACCTGCTGACCCTGCTTGAAACAGATGCTGCTGGAGGATGGGATGTGTGGAGTGAGGTGGGGGTCACCCACCCAACCGGCTGAGGGGTTACGTCCCAGAGCAGAAACGTGCTGGGAACTGGCAGAGGGAATGCTGTGAGTTATCGAAGGGAGAAGGTGAAGATATTTTGGAGATGTTTTTATATTAGTGAGTAGGAAAAAGGAGAGTCTTTCATGCATGCAGAGGGGTGATGACAACGTGGGAGGGAGGTGTGTGACCGAAATGCGGCTCTGTCCCCAGGAGGTGACGGGCTGGGAGGTGGCAGCAGGTCCATATCCACACGTGGGGCAGGGAGAGCATCCAGCCAAAAGGGACATCCGGGCTACAACGAAATGAGAGCGAGGTGCTTTGAAAGCAAGCCCTCGGAGAACACTGAACGTTCATCCCGTTCAGCCAGGGGCAAGGCTGAGCTCTCGTGCAGCAGCGGTGAATGTTCTGGATGAATATTATCTGTTAATGAACCCACCTTCATCTGTTCTGGTCTGATTTACATTTCAGCTCAGCTTCCTTAAAAGATAAGTCTCAAAATTGCAGTAACCCATCCTAAGAGATTCTTTAGGGTTGGTGTTCAGCAACGCCGCACGCTTATCAGGCAGTGGTGTGTTTCCTGAGGAGTTCTCAGATTGCCAATTCAGCGGGTGAAGTGGCAGAGGAAAAAGGTGATATGAAGGTCGTATTGGAGTCGGATAATCACAGACTTATTCGAGGGATGGGGAAAAGCCATACAACTGTTCATGCTTCATGTATTAAGTAATGACAGTGTTCAATACAGGGGGCAATGATCCCAACGCGAGGAGAGGACACTGGAGAAGAGGAGAGTGAGCGGTGGGGATTGGCGGGATGCCTGGGGGAAACACCATCTGCTGCACGTGTCTGCAGGGTGTCACGTAGCCAGCAAGTGGTGGCATTAAAACCAGCCACAGACAGGGAGCAGGGTGACTGTCCGGTTGTTGGAGAAGGGCACAGACATGTGGGGAGCTGAGCAGGGAGAGTGTGACCCAGCACAGAGGGGCTCATGGACCCTCACCCATAGACCGAGTTATCGAAGGGAGAAGGTGAAGATATTTTGGAGATGTTTTTATATTAGTGAGTAGGAAAAAGGAGAGTCTTTCATGCATGCAGAGGGGTGATGACAACGTGGGAGGGAGGTGTGTGACCGAAATGCGGCTCTGTCCCCAGGAGGTGACGGGCTGGGAGGTGGCAGCAGGTCCATATCCACACATGGGGCAGGGAGAGCATCCAGCCAAAAGGGACATCCGGGCTACAACGAAATGAGAGCGAGGTGCTTTGAAAGCAAGCCCTCGGAGAACACTGAACGTTCATCCCGTTCAGCCAGGGGCAAGGCTGAGCTCTCGTGCAGCAGCGGTGAATGTTCTGGATGAATATTATCTGTTAATGAACCCACCTTCATCTGTTCTGGTCTGATTTACATTTCAGCTCAGCTTCCTTAAAAGATAAGTCTCAAAATTGCAGTAACCCATCCTAAGAGATTCTTTAGGGTTGGTGTTCAGCAACGCCGCACGCTTATCAGGCAGTGGTGTGTTTCCTGAGGAGTTCTCAGATTGCCAATTCAGCAGGTGAAGTGGCAGAGGAAAAAGGTGATATGAAGGTCGTATTGGAGTCGGATAATCACAGACTTATTCGAGGGATGGGGAAAAGCCATACAACTGTTCATGCTTCATGTATTAAGTAATGACAGTTTTTCTCAGCGTTCAATACAGGGGGCAATGATCCCAACGCGAGGAGAGGACACTGGAGAAGAGGAGAGTGAGCGGTGGGGATTGGCGGGATGCCTGGGGGAAACACCATCTGCTGCACGTGTCTGCAGGGTGTCACGTAGCCAGCAAGTGGTGGCATTAAAACCAGCTGCAGACAGGGAGCAGGGTGACTGTCCGGTTGTTGGAGAAGGGCACAGACATGTGGGGAGCTGAGCAGGGAGAGTGTGACCCAGCACAGAGGGGCTCATGGACCCTCACCCATAGACCGGGCTTTTGATACAGAGCAAGGAAACCCTTGGTGGATTGAAGGGTGTTTTCTTGCTTCCAATGGGATAAAAGAGCCCTGGGAGGGGGGAGTCAACGTGGCCTGTGTTTATGGGCAGTGTTATACCAGGTTTAAAGTATTGAGTTCTGAGATCTTGACTCACGTGGTCCCGCAGCAATAACTAATGTGAAAAATACAGAGAAACAGATTTGAAGTGTAAGGCTTTAATTTCAGAAAGCCTTTAGCAACAGGGAGTTTGAAAATGAAAAGAATTGATAGGATATCTGCTTGATAGGACAGCATTGTTCGGTTTCCTTGCCTCTAGATTTGATCTGAGGTGTCTGAAATATGATAATCTGTGATATGTGCTGAAAAATATGTATATGAGAGAGCAGTGAGTTTGAAGAGAAAGTACTGAAGAGGGAGTGATTTGTGTTTGTAAGTTTCCTGTCTTGCTGGTGGAAAACTCACTGTGAATTATGCTACACTTCTAGGGCAGCATCTTGTTATGTGAAAAACATTCTTTTCATGTGTACAAATCAAAAAAAAAAAAATTCTTCTGCTCAAAACAAGCTTCAAATTTCCTCTCTGCCCAAGCTCATTGCTACCTTTATGCTTTCTTTCATGTCGTGTTTTTCCAAAAATCCTTTCCTAAGTAATGCCTACTTAACTTTATTTACTGCAAACACCCCAAAAGCCACCAATCCAGAAATACCTCCCCACTGCAGTGACTGCAGCTGAGTCTGTGTTGACCACAGGTTGCTTGTGCCTCCTGCACCCACCAAAGCACTTCAGGGCATTCAGGTTTTTGCTCACATAATCTGGGCAGCGCCGTGATCTTTGAGATGGTGTTTGTTTCCCAAGTCCTTTCACTGGCTGCTTGCTGCTCTCCCTCCATCAGGCTGCACGTGCCTGGGAAGGTGTGGAGATAGATTTGAATAGAAGCTGGAGCGCAAGGTGAATTTGCAACCCAGTCTAGACATGCAAAATAAGAATTGTTGCAGACAAAAACTGTCTCTTGACACCTTGTTACTCTAGGCAGCCTGTTAGGCAGTACAGAGCGTAGCACAGATTTCTGAAAGAATTGTCAACCTGAAGAAAGCAAAGAACCTGCAGCCCAGGTGAATGTCCCATCCGTGAGTTTTGTGTGCTCCGTTTTCAACAACTGTAGATAAAATGTCCTGGATGTGGCAGAAGCCCTTCTTTCTGTGGTGCAGCTTTCTCTTGGCTGTTCTCATATGTCATTAAATAAAGGTATATTATGTGTTTATTCATGTATTGCCTTCTGTTTCTGTTCTCTTCCCCCACCCGCAGGCTTTGAGTTACTGTACCAGCCAGATGTGGTCCGACTGTACCTCTCCATCCTCACCGAAAGCCAGAACTTCAACACTCTGGAAGCAGCAGCAGGGGCTTTGCAGAACCTCAGTGCTGGCAACTGGACGGTGAGCACAGTCCTCTTTTTAGTCTCCTTTGTTTCCTTTGGGTAAGCAAAGACCAAAGCTGTGGCCCGTTACAGGTGTGCTGTTACTTTGTGTATTTACATCTCCTGTAAAAAGGAAGGAGGTGGGAATTCCAAAGAAATTATTTCCATCTTATTGGCCCACTGAAGATGTTTCACATCATCTGGACAGATGGTGTTTACATAGTGGAAGTGTCACTGAGATGGTGACAATTTAACCAGCAGCGGGTTTTACTATTTAAGCCACTTAACCCTTGCTTCGTCCATTCAGGAAAGCCTGTTGTTAGATGATTAAATGTCCTGAACACTTAATTCATTGGATTGTCCAATTGCTCAGGATACTGCACTCCAGAGTGTCCTCTGCTGTCCTCTCTGGAGCATCCCCAGCACTAATCAGGTGGTTCTCTCAAAGCCTGATTGCTCCCAGAACCCTGTGGCAAAGTGGGACTGACCACAGCCCGAGGATCAGCAGGGTGATGTTTCATGGCTGTCTTAAATGCAGTTTATTTTAAAATCAATCAAGAAACAGAACAAAAGCATGAAGTTGGAGGTGGGGGAAGATAACAGATGCTTTGGATGCTTTACTGTTCCCTCCAAATGACCTCTTTTTTCCCAATCTGGAGAGATGTGGTTTCACACAGAGGTCTGTATGGAACAGGTGCTGGTGGAGGATGCTCCTTCCTTCTATTTCTGTCCTCTCTCCCCAGCAGCTCCCTGAGCTGGGGGTGAACCTTGGCATCCGTTCTTCATTAGTGCCTGATGAACGTGAACGATGGGTGAAGTTACAGGTGCCTCAGCACACACAGCCTGACTACTCTTTGCAGGGGAAAAAAAAAAATGAATTACAGCACTGAAGGAAATGCCAGGGGCAAGGAAAGGGCAGGTGTTTGAACTCACAATACTTTGTGTTTCTTTTCCCTTGTGTGTTCTGGTCAGTGGTCCACGTACATCCGTGCAACGGTGCGGAAGGAGAGAGGCTTACCCGTGCTGGTGGAGCTGCTCCAGTCCGACTCGGACAAGGTTGTGAGGGCTGTGTCGATTGCCCTGAGAAACCTTTCCATGGATCGTCGCAATAAAGATCTCATAGGTATCTTCTGGACTTTTCTAACCAGGCTGGGGTCTCGGATACCCTTGAGAGACCTCACACTTTGTCACTTGTGCTGAGGACTCATTTTGTATGCAGCTTCCGTCTGCACTAAGATTGCTCTGGAGCCACCACGGGCAGGGCTGTCACCTCAGGATGTGTTTCCATCCCTCTGTGGTTTGAGGGAAATCCCTAACTCAGGAGCTGTAGATTTTTGCAGGAGATGGGGGCGTGGAGGCACGCAGAGGACTGGGTGGGTGAAGAGGTTTCTCCTCTCCTCCATAGCTGTGGCTGACGTGGCGCTTGTGCTCGTGGTCCCACGTGGTGGTTACAGACGTAGCTCCTGCTGTTTAGATGAGAGCAGGAGCCTTGCCCCTGGGGTGCTGAGCCAACCTGGGGGAGCACAGTGGGCTCTAAAGTCATCCCTTTTTTCTCACCTCCTCCTTCCCTTCTCCTCTTGTGTGGTAGTCACTTGGAGAAGCTGGAAAGCAAACAGCTCGCCCTTCTTCAGGCTGGTCCCCCAGCAGTGCTCACCAGCTCCTCTCCAAGGGGACAGACAACCCTTCGCCTGCCCATCAGCAGGGATCTTGAGAGATTCAGCTGTGGGTTGAGTTTTCCTCTGGATGCCTCTGTATTTAACCAATGTATTTGTTTAAAGGATAACCTTGCCAGGCCAGGAAATACCAGCCACATGTTTAGGGCCATCATCCAAGTTGATCCTAACAAATGGCAAGATGGGATTCTGCCTTAAGACATCGGGTTCTTTAAATAGTTCCAAGGTGTAGCTGGGCAAACGGTACAGAGGGACCCTGGGGAGCAATAAACCCCGAACTGCTTGTTGTTCCTGCAGCAGTGTGTGTGGGGAAGGCTGGTGGCACCCGGAGGAAATACCCTTGTCTTTGCCAGGGGAAGGTTAATCAATGCCTGGCTGCTCACCTTGCCCCAGCAGGCCCATTACAAGGCTGGGTTGAGTAAGCCACGTGCGTGTATTAGCATGAGTATGTGGCATTAGCAGCAGCTACTGGATGCTTTTTGCCTCAGGTGTTGCAAAGTATGATAGATGCTGGCTGCAAAATTCTCAATAAAAATGGTGTTGGCTTTTTTCCTCAATACTTTTAGTGTTCGTGATGAAAGAGTTTGTCTCGGGTATCAACTCTTAATCACCTTGAAATAATGAATGATAAATAAACTGTTAAGTTACATTCTTGAGGTTCCAAACACCAAAACACGTGCATTATAAATTTTTTTGACCTGGCAAAAACCTTTGAGTTTTATCATTCAGGATGGGAAGCTGAAGTTATTATTAGGGCTGACTAACGGTATCTCTTCCCCTTATCTAGGTAGTTATGCCATGGGTGAGCTGGTAAGAAATTTGCCCAGCAGGCAGCAGAGATCTGCAAAGAACCTGGAAGAGGATACGGTGGTTGCGGTGTTGAACACCATCCATGAAATCATCACTGACAGCTCGGAGAACGCCAGGTCTCTGATCCAGACACAGGGCATTCAGAAGCTGGTGGCGATCAGCAAGTCAAGGTGAGTGACAGGCAAAGCAAAATGCAGAAGAGCTCCCTGCAAACATGGAAATGTCACTGCAAACAGGGGCTTTGGCTTTGTGGAAGTGCTTGAGCTTCCAGAGCCTTCAATTTCAGGGCAATTAATAGATACACAGTAAAAACAGTCAGTACCTTTAATAGGTTTACTTGATTTAAAAAAAACCAAAACACATTAATTGAGCAGTCACTTCAGTCACGTTAAGATACTCTCTCCTTGTCAGGTGCGTCCCAGCACCATCAGCCGCAATGAAACCAGGATCTTTATTTTCAGTGTGGGAGGCTTTTTCCTGGGGCAGCCTTCTGTTCCTGGAATGCCAGGGAGGAAACCTGTTTTGTTTAAGTAAAATGGTTAATGACGTGCAGTAATCATCCTGGCCAAAGGGCTGGTGGGGGTAATGTGAAGTGACAAATGTTCACTCTGCAGTTCTGTTGAAAACCCTGTTCTGGTTGCTCTAGAGAAGAGTTTGTTCCCCATAGTTCAGCTGGTCAGAGGTTGGAGGGTGGCTGATGACTTTGTTGTTCATCGTTATGAAATATGGAGCCAACCAAGAGTCTAGCCCTGTATTATTTTATAGAGGTGTTAGTCTACTGACTCATTAAGGAATGGATAAAATTTCATTTTCTGTTTAAAAATAGCTTATTTTTTGCTGACCCAAATTGCTTTGTGTAAGGTATTCTAAACCATGAAGCAACTTCATTGAATTGTGAGGAATATATGTCAGTTGGGGTAAAGGTTTGAAAAGTGGCTTAGAACTTGAATTCTTTTGGTTTTTTCTAAATAAATCCAGGGTGGAATCTACCTGGTTTTTGTTGTGACAGCTATGAGACAAAAGGGTCACCCTGGGCTCGGTGCTTGCCCAGCAATGCACGTAAAAACCCTGAAATCGGCACAATTTAGAACTCTGGGATTTTTCTAGTCAGCAAATACCTGTAGATATGAAGTCATCACTGAATGATTTCACATGTATCCTAGAGCTTATAGGTTCCAAGAATAGCTGTACGGAGTAGTGGGTATTGATTGGGTGCAAAGAAGTCAACGTACAAATAGTCTTACATTGTTTGATACTTAAGCTCTAATTTTTATCTTGCAAACCAGCCAGTCTCCCAGAGAAACAAAAGCAGCATCTCACGTTCTTCAGATGATCTGGAGCTATAAAGAGCTACGAAATGCCTTGCAGAAGGATGGGTGGAACAAATCACACTTCCAGGTAAAGATGCTGGGTTTTAGACTCAGTTATGGAAATGCCTGAGGGGAAGGTGTGCTGACTCACACCAGCAACGCTGCCATGTAGATAACAGGAAAAAATCCACCAACAAATCTATATGAAAATAAAAAGTACTGCAGTGCCATACCATCAGTGGAAGGGGGGCTTAGCAGCATCCCATAACCTCTCCATACTGTTGGTTTGGGGTTTTTTCTTGTTCAGTTTCCCTGAGTACCAGTTTTGTGTTTGTGTGGGTTTTGTCTCGTAGTCTGTTTCTGCAGCTCCAAAGGGCTCCAAAGGTACCTCTGGCAGGGCTGGCTACGACGACAGCACTTTGCCCCTGGTGGATAAAAGTCAAGGTCAGTTCTGCTCTTTATCATTTTTTCTGTTGTGCTTTGCTTGCTTGGCTCCTGGATTTGCCACGTCTGTGTTACGGTGCGAGGGGGTAAAAATGTATTTTTTGTATGTGGCGATTTTTACCCCACAGTCCCAAAGTGTGTCAGAATTTCCTCTCGGTGCTCCGTGCTCTCCTACAGCAGAGTTTGCTGTTGCACTTCACCTGGTGTAACTGCTGGTCACTGCCCAAAGTCCCTGCCCGCTGCCACCCCCCTGGCTTAGCCAAACCTGGCAGGTCACAGGGACAGAGGGTGACATGGGTGACAATAAACTACTTGTTTTCTTTGTGGGTTCTCCTGCTGGCTCAGCAGGCTGCTGGCTGGGAGTGTGCACCACGGGAACCTGCACCCTCTCTTGTTTTCTGTCTCCTCTGCTCTGGAGAGAGCAGGGAGGAGCAGGTTCATAGCAGTAGGTGGTCCAATGCAGAACTGCAGCTCCTGTTATCACTTGGAGAGAGGAGTTCTATATTACAGTGCCAAGGCAGAAAATGCAAGGATTATGTGTGCTCTCCAGAGAGCTTAAATTGAATTTCCCTTTCTGAACGGGTAACAGTTGAATAGTTGGGGTTTTTTTACAAGAGCCTCTGCATTCAGTACTTCCTGGACCTCTCTGGTCCTGTGACTAATTTAAAACTACCAGGTTTTGAGAAAAGCAAATGTAACTCGAGTCGTTTCAATGTTTCTGTGTTACAGATAACGAGAAGTCTGGGAGTCGTGATATGATACCTATGGATGAACTTGGCCCAGGTAAATTCAGTCTCAGATCAAACTCTCTGTCTCTTCCAATAGAGCACGCTGTCACTCACGGGAAAGTTCAGCTGTTTCTCTAGGAGATATTATTTCAGATGGATAAAGCTGACATTTAAAAACAGAACGTTACCTTACAAAAGATTGGTCGTCATCTTTTTTTTTTTTTTTTTTGGTGTTAGTCTACTGACTCATTAAGGAATGGATAAAATTTCATTTTCTGTTTAAAAATAGCTTATTTTTTGCTGACCCAAATTGCTTTGTGTAAGGTATTCTAAACCATGAAGCAACTTCATTGAATTGTGAGGAATATATGTCAGTTGGGGTAAAGGTTTGAAAAGTGGCTTAGAACTTGAATTCTTTTGGTTTTTTCTAAATAAATCCAGGGTGGAATCTACCTGGTTTTTGTTGTGACAGCTATGAGACAAAAGGGTCACCCTGGACTCGGTGCTTGCCCAGCAATGCACGTAAAAACCCTGAAATCGGCACAATTTAGAACTCTGGGATTTTTCTAGTCAGCAAATACCTGTAGATATGAAGTCATCACTGAATGATTTCACATGTATCCTAGAGCTTATAGGTTCCAAGAATAGCTGTACGGAGTAGTGGGTATTGATTGGGTGCAAAGAAGTCAACGTACAAATAGTCTTACATTGTTTGATACTTAAGCTCTAATTTTTATCTTGCAAACCAGCCAGTCTCCCAGAGAAACAAAAGCAGCATCTCACGTTCTTCAGATGATCTGGAGCTATAAAGAGCTACGAAATGCCCTGCAGAAGGATGGGTGGAACAAATCACACTTCCAGGTAAAGATGCTGGGTTTTAGACTCAGTTATGGAAATGCCTGAGGGGAAGGTGTGCTGACTCACACCAGCAACGCTGCCATGTAGATAACAGGAAAAAATCCACCAACAAATCTATATGAAAATAAAAAGTACTGCAGTGCCATACCATCAGCGGAGGGGGGGCTTAGCAGCATCCCATAACCTCTCCATACTGTTGGTTTGGGGTTTTTATTGTTCAGTTTCCCTGAGTAGCAGTTTTGTGTCTGTGTGGGTTTTGTCTCGTAGTCTGTTTCTGCAGCTCCAAAGGGCTCCAAAGGTACCTCTGGCCGGGCTGGCTACGACGACAGCACTTTGCCCCTGGTGGATAAAAGTCAAGGTCAGTTCTGCTCGTTATCATTTTTTCTCTTTCTGTGAAAAATTCCTTCCTAATGTTCAGTCTAAAAAGTTATGTAGTAATAAATCTCGCCTTCAGCTGGGCAGTGGGTTTGGCCTTACCCCTGCTGGGCGCTGGAGTCTTTTCCTCCCTAAATAAACATGCTCTTTTGGGCAGCACTTCTCCCCCCAGCACAGAGTTTCCACTGGGACTGGGTTTATCCCAGCTCCAGCCAAACCTGCCCAAGCCTTTTCCTGGGGCCCGAGCAGCCGAAGCAACGCTGGTCCAGCTTTAATTTCACTGTGACTTTGTCTCTGAATCTGGTTCTAGTTTCTAATGCCCAGGTGTCAGAATTTCCTCTCGGTGCTCCGTGCTCTCCTACAGCAGAGTTTGCTGTTGCACTTCACCTGGTGTAACTGCTGGTCACTGCCCAAAGTCCCTGCCCGCTGCCACCCCCCTGGCTTGGCCAAACCTGGCAGGTCACAGGGACAGAGGGTGACATGGGTGACAATAAACTACTTGTTTTCTTTGTGGGTTCTCCTGCTGGCTCAGCAGGCTGCTGGCTGGGAGTGTGCACCACGGGAACCTGCACCCTCTCTTGTTTTCTGTCTCCTCTGCTCTGGAGAGAGCAGGGAGGAGCAGGTTCATAGCAGTAGGTGGTCCAATGCAGAACTGCAGCTCCTGTTATCACTTGGAGAGAGGAGTTCTATATTACAGTGCCAAGGCAGAAAATGCAAGGATTATGTGTGCTCTCCAGAGAGCTTAAATTGAATTTCCCTTTCTGAACGGGTAACAGTTGAATAGTTGGGGTTTTTTTACAAGAGCCTCTGCATTCAGTACTTCCTGGACCTCTCTGGTCCTGTGACTAATTTAAAACTACCAGGTTTTGAGAAAAGCAAATGTAACTCGAGTCGTTTCAATGTTTCTGTGTTACAGATAACGAGAAGTCTGGGAGTCGTGATATGATACCTATGGATGAACTTGGCCCAGGTAAATTCAGTCTCAGATCAAACTCTCTGTCTCTTCCAATAGAGCACGCTGTCACTCACAGCAAAGTTCAGCTGTTTCTCTAGGAGATATTATTTCAGATGGATAAAGCTGACATTTAAAAACAGAACGTTACCTTACAAAAGATTGGTCATCTTTTTTTTTTTTTTCCTTTTAAATACATGTAGAATGTACACACCAATCTCTGCACTGCTTTCAGTGTGTATGGAGACACAGTGACACCGCTCCCGGTCCAGCCTCTCGCCCCTGAGGCACCTGCATTTCCTGATATGGGTCTGAAAATCTGGGGTCCAGAAGAAAAAAAAAAGTTGATTTACTTCAGTGTAAAGCTTGTGTTTAAATCCGTTCTGCCTTTGTTTTCTGTGGGTAACACCAAAAATAAGTCAGTGTGTAGGGTACTCCAGGTGCCACTTCTCATTTACCTGCGTCTCCCCCATTGATGGGGAGGAGCCGCCTCTGTCAGGGAAATGCTTTGAGATGGATAAACTCCATACTCTGAGACTTCTCGAGGGGTTTTGTGTGGTTTCGTGGGAATTGGCTTTACTTCTTCCAGTGGATGTTACTTTTGTTTGAATACCTATATTAATGCCCCCAAATCAAACAGTTAATGTACTGCTATTTGTGATTGTTGCTGGAAAAAAATAGCAAGTTAGAAGCAAGCTGAAAGCCAAGCGTGTTCAGAAGTTAAAATAACAGGTATATATTACCTTTTGGGTTCTTAGAAAAATGAGATGCCACCTGCCATGAACCAGCTGTCCATCTGTGTTTCTCCTGAGGGGGATCAGAAACATTTGTTCTCGCAATGGAAGAAAATGCCTTCGGAGAGTTGCCTGGCAGGACAGCTCTGTCTGCAGGTGCTGCAGCAGGGGCAGCGCTGACTGTTTGTAGTTGGGGTATTAATTGTTGCCTTATGCTTTCAGGAGCTACTGGTGCAGCTCTGAGTGCAAAATAAAATGCAAATTAACAGCATATGTACAACATCAGGCAGATTCCCCGGGCCGTTCTGTTCTCCAGTCTTTTTATCACCATTAGATGAAATCTGTGAAGTTTTCCTGACGCCAGCTCTTGAGTGCTTTTGAACTCCAGCATCGCTGTACCTTTGTGCTGTTTCAGGGGTCAGCTGAGAAGAGACTAAATGAATTTATCCAGTTTACTGTCCTTAATTCCAAGGAACTGCAATAACAAGTCAGTACTTCATCTCTTCCCTTCAAGCTCTGCCAAATGCCATATGTTTTTTTTGTTTTATGGGCAGACTTACAGGAGGAGCTGCTCTAGACTCTATTTTCTGCTTTTAACTTCACTGTGGACTGTTGTGTTCTGGAGGTTTGGGTTTTTTTGCGCTCTGGGGTGCGCTGGCAGGTAGAAGGGGTAGAAGATCCACGTGCAGCCCTCTGGGTTTGTACGTGCAGGAGGCAGTTTGGTTGTGTCCCCACACTCTCTGCACCAGCCCATGCCGAGCCTCCAGGAGAGACTGACCTCACTTATGTCTGCAAAGAAGATGTGTGACAGAGCTCCAGAGAAAGCTGGTCAACATCCCAGCTTATGCTTCATCTCTTTTTATTGTAGCAGGTCCTGTGCCCTGCTCTCAGTTGTGTGTATTTCCCTTGCCTTCCTCTCTTTCTGACTTCACTTGCCCCAAGATCTTTCTACCTCATGCTCACTGTCTTTTAGAGAATTCTCATCTGCCTCCAGCTTTGTCCATTCCCTTTAGTAGAGATGCTTCCAGGTTGCCCAGTTCTCTTTCTGCTGTACTGCTTTGGTGTGGAGCTGTAATCACCTGGAACACATCAGAGTGTGCCGGTGCTGAGCTCGGTGAGTGTCCGTGAGTTTCCGTGCCACACACACCTCAGAGGTGTCCATCTGTCCGTCCTGCTCCCCTGCAGAGTGCAGGCTGCTCCACAGCCTCACCCCCGGCTGCTGCTCATCTACTGCCTCTTGTTGTCAGGGGTCTTGGTGCCTGGCCTTTACCATTAACCCATTTTGACTCTTCTTCAAGATTGCAACAAGGAAATTGCTGTTGGTGTCTCATTTGGCTGATGCTGGGGGGGTCATCCTCTCTATAAAGGAAATTGATTCGCTGCCAGTGGGGCCAGGGAGGGGAAGGATCCATTCCCCACCAGCCGGCAGTATGGGACCAGCCAGAGCCCTGTTGTCCGGAGCAGTGGGAGGGGCTGGGCAGAGTCTGGATGTCCTGGGAGATGGAAGAAAACACGTCTTATGAGTTACTTTGGGATGCATGAGACAGCCCATGCAGAGAGAGCTCAGGTCTGTCAGACCTCATCAGCTCCAGACGAGTGGCTCTGCACCCAGAAATCTGAAGATCATTGATGCTTATTGTCACGGAGCTGCCCGAGGGCGGCCGTGACCCTGAGCTGTCCGTGGCAGCAGCAGAACTGTGATCTCAAGGTTGGTTGCCAAATTGGTGAGTGCTCTAAAACTGTATCTGTGCCTCAGTTAACCTACAGCCCATCAGACAAGGGGGTCTGGGCACTGGGAATTGTTTAGACCAGAGACCTGTAGCTCAGATGCCCCCGTCCTACGTGCCCATCTTCAGGCACAACTTCTTTCTCCTCCTCCTCTGTTTTGATGGGTCCAGAGGTTTGATCTTTGCAAGCTGGGAGCTGTACGAGGGCACGGATGGGCTGACACTCAGCAGGCCTTTGGTCCTGTGATCTGTGATGACACAGAAATGTTGCTGCAGAGCGAATGGAGACAGTCAGTGAAGCAATAGCAAAGGCAACGAGCAGAAAGTTGGGAGAGAGGAATAAACAAGCCAAGGATGGGACGTGCCCCCATTGACCAATATCACTCTTGTCTGTACGTCAGGTTGTATTAACTCAGAACAACACACCTGCACCTTGGAGCAGCAAGATCTGTGTAGGTCTGCTTTGTGCCACAGAAAATCATCACTTGTTAGATCAAAACGTGGGAGAAGCAACACTTTCTAATTTCTTTGAAGAGCTGTGGTCCTCGGAGCACTGAGATATTACTTCTGCGACGCAACCTCCTTCAAGATACTTCTCATTTTGTTAGATCAAATGATGAATTCCTGTTGCTGCTGCTGCTGCTGCAGCTTATCTCAACTGAGCCAGAGCACGGGGTGTGGGTTTAGAAACACGTACCCCGACAGCGGTGCCATGTGCGGCCCCGTCCGCGGGCAGAGCACGGTGTGGGCAGAGGGACACAGTGCAAAACCTGTTGGATCTTGGATATGAAGGATCTTGGATATGAAGAACGAAGTTCTTGACTGTTCTTTATTGTTAGGTTACTGCCTCTGCGCAAAAGCTTCATCTCCCTGCTGCTCCTGCCATCCTGGCTAAGGGGGGGCTAGGGGGATGTTTATTTTTAGTAGTATTAAAGATCAGTCATGCTTTTAATTTTCCGTGATTACAGTCTTTACTGCTGACCTTGCTCCCCAGGATGTCTCACAGCTGCTGTACTTCACTTAGTAGCTGTTGCTTTCTGGGAGAGGTTAAAGGTTTCCTTTGTATCTTGGCAATTCGTTTAAAACCTGTCTGTGGCTCGGCCGTGCTGGTGGCACTGCAGAGATGCAAAGTGATCCCTTACACCATCGTGGGTCTAATTACTATGAGTTTGTAAAAAGCTACTGCTCAGTTGGCTTGAGTTTGATTTTTTTTGGGGGGAGTCAGCATGTTTCCATCATTCAGAGACATCCTGTGGGAGCTATGTACTCCTAAATAAATGGTGAATCTTTATATCAGGATATGACTTACCAGCAGTGTTCACACCTATCAGTTGGAGGAGAATTACTGCTCACGTGTCTCTCCCCCGATGCTGGCTGGGTACTGGGTTGCAGCTGGTAGGCTTCAGTTCTGGCTTCTGTGTTCAGAAGGAATAGCCAAGAACGTTGGGCATCTTCATTGTCACAAATCGTTGTGAGTGAAGCTCTTGTAGCAATTGTTTTCGTGGTTTGAGATCTGTGCACATGTGTAACTCCACAATTCTGTAGTTATTTTTAGGCAGCGTGGTTCAGTAACTGTGTTACCACCTGCCATGTCACAAACACACGCTACTCCAGGTGCTTGTTGCAGGTCTGGGTGCACTTTGGTTTAGGAGATAAGAGGGAGGTGGGGGCTCTTTTCAGCCCCCCTGGCCGGGGGCAGCACGAGCATCGTCCCGGGCTGTGCTGGGGGCAGGTGGCTCTGCCCCGTCTGCCTTTGTCCTGGGGACAAACACTGCCTCTTCCTGCACAGGAACCCCACAGAAACCTGACTTATTTTTATTAATGACCTGTTGCAGGCGAGTCATAAACCAAGAGGGGAGTATTTTGGTAGTTTATGTGAAACCTTTTAGGGGTGTTCTAAGAACCCAGTTTGTCAGGACATGAAAACATAAATGATCTCTCAATTACACAGGGGGAAACAAAAGCCCACAGGGAGCTATAAATCTGAGTGTCATTGACTCCAGGTGACAGTGCTGTCACAGCAGAGCAGGAGAGGATCTATTTGTCACTGATAATGAGGGAAATTTGATGCATCAGGAAAATAAATTAAGATTTGCATTGGCTGACGATGATTCCAAGCAAAGGTTCTGAGATAATTAGAGCCATTTCTTTATAAAACCTTCTCACTCTTCTCTTCCTTGTGTTCATCACACTTCCATAGTGTTCAGAGTCATCAGGAGACAAAGCACCACCAGGTGCTGCTTCCTGAAGACAGACAGTCCCTGCACAGCGGCGTCTGCACCAACATTCCTTCCCCCCGACAGGCCCTTTTTCTCACTGCTCTGAAAGGGACTCTTCCAAATTATTGTCGTGTCCCACCAGCCTCCGGGCTGGGGAGGAGCAGGAACACGCTGCAGAGTGTTTGGAGAACGAACCCAGCCAATTAATGGGGCTGCTGGGCGAGGACCAGGGGTTTGGGCTGAGCGTGGGGCTCACGAGCCACAGGACACGAGGTGCCAACTCGCTGCTTTCCTTGGGTGCACTGACAAGTGCAGCAGGTGGGGGGGACACGGGTGCTGCCCGCTAACGAGTGTCAGCAGCTGGCAGGGGTACACAACGAGGGCTTTTCTCTTCCATTTTAAGCTGGTAAAAATGAAATTTCAGAGCTGGAGCGCGTTGAGGAGCAGGCTGCCAGCATCTGCGGGTTGCGATGGGTTATTTTGTTTTCCTGTTTCTTTGCTGAGGGATTGTGCTGGCACCAGCTCCGGGTTTGCTCCTCGTTGTGCCTCTGACTGTGTTGTTGTGTCTCCCCAGACGGGTACTCCACCATCGACCACCGGGACAAGGAGCGCAAGTACAAGAGCAGCGATACCCCAGGGGACGCCTCGGAGAAAGAGCCTTTAAAAGTGAGCGTCCTCTGACTGCTGAATGCTCCTCACTGCCCTTAAAAGAAAGGGAGTCGGGTGTTTCCTCAGCAAGAAATTCAGGGTAGTTACTCACCAGGGGGCTCTAAAGGGCTGGTTTGGTTTTTTTGGATTTTTTTTTTTAGATAAAGGCGCCAGACTCAGCGCTTGGCTAACGAAAAATAGAAACTAACTGCTGCTTTGCAGTGCAGGAGCAGATGCAGGCGCTGAGTGTATTCTCCTAAATAGGTAGGGTTGTTAAAATAGGAAGTGATTTCAAGGAGGAAGAGGAGGATTCAATGAAACAAGTCAGTGGTAGGAAACACTATCGTTAGTCTGCAGAAGGCTGTCCTTAATAATCTTCAGCACGTTGCTGATAATATCAGAAAATCCAGGTGATTCATGTTCAGTGGAAACAATTAAACTTCAGCAAATTGAAAGATAAACCCACTACTATTGAACAAGGGACATAAAAATGTGACTTGGAGAAAAATATTTCTATGGATCATGGATTAGGAAGGAGTCCTGCTGCACCAACCACCCGTGTTTCACCTGGTGGGGCATTCCCTGCCGTGTCCTCCCTTCCAGGAGGGCATCCCCCAGGAATGGCCTCGCTCCAGCGGGGCAGGTTTTCCTGCACATGGCTCTCGTCCCCCTGCCCGCTCGGGGTCTGCCTGCACCCGGCCTGAGGCTGCCCAGGAGGACTTTTTGGCAGAGGTGGTTGTGCTCCTTCGTTTGGTTTTGGAACTGATAAAACTGTGATGGCTCAGATCACACAGTGGGTGCCCCTGCTCCAGCCTGGCAGGCGAGGGCTCTGCTTGGACCAGTGTCAACAACATAAACCTTCTAGAGCCTCCATCTCACTAGAATGTGTTCTGCAGGGGGAATGGCTGCACTGAGTGATATAAGAATGTTGATCAATAGGAGCTTGACAGAAAGTGTCTTTCTAAGGAAAATAGGTTTGGGCAGGAAAATTAACAAATACCTGTTATTTTTGCCGCTCACAAGTCATTAAAGTGATGGGACCCCCCCCTCAGAACCACATCAAGCGGTGTTGGTGTGTCTGAGGCGAGGCTCAGCCCAGAGTTCAGGGAGTTCTGCTTTGCTTTCATGAGAAAAAGAGAAAAAACATTTCACCTCGACGGTGTCCCTCCTGTGTTCTGCGCTGCCTCGGCCTCAGGGAGGGGGTCACCCAAATTCAGCCTCTCGTACCCTCAAAATCAGTGCTGCTGACCCCCCCTCAGGCTGAGCCGCTCTCCCCACGGAGCAGAAGCTCTGGGGTCTCCCCCCGTGTGAGGGGCTCCAGGGCCGTGGCTGAGGCTCCGGGGCAGGTGAGAGCTGTGGGTATGGATGGCCGGGAAGCGCAGCGCTGGGCCTTGCAGATGCTTTTGTCAGTTGTGTGCCTTTGCTGACCTTGTTTCCTTCTCTACCACTAATTTCCCCTCGTGCTCTTTAAGCTGACTTGTTTGGTGGTTTTTGTTTGATTAATCCGCTCTGTTTTGCCTTTAACTCCTCACCCTCTGCTGCAGAATGACACAAATAGGAAAAACATTAACAGGAGTAACAGGGCTTCGGTGAATCTGGTGGATGCCCGTGACATTAAACCCCAGCCCGTTGACTCTTGGGTCTAATTTGCATGCATGGTAGGTCCTTTTAATGGTAATTGGTGCTAGTGATTAACTTGTCTCGTGCATGATCTGTATCGCTGTGGAATCTCGTCGAGGCTAACTGCTAATGGGTCCTCTCAGACAAATGACAATGGGTTTGAAAAAAGTGGTGTGTATATTATTCAGTGTATCTTTAATGAAATGCAATCAAACACCACTGTTTGATTAAAAAATAACCTGTCAAATAACCAGACAAACAATTAATATTGCGAATGATGGGTTATCAGCTGAAACGTGAGAGATTCCTGCTGTTAGGCCATGGCAATGAATTTGAATAGTGTGTTCCTGCTTCCAACCATTTTTTTTCCCCTCTTTGCTCATTATAAGGATTAGCCTGAGCCTTAGGGATGAGCACATCCGTGAGGACTCGCGGGTGTCCCCGGGGTTCCCTTGGATGCCCCAGCCCTGCCCGTCCCCAGGGAAGCCGCTGGCTGGACACGGGTTCCTCTGCAGGGCCAGGTCATTTTGGTTCCACAATAAACACTGACCCACAACTCCCACAGCTCAATTCCCTTTTTTTTCTGTCACTAAAGAAAGGTGCCTTTCTGTCGCTCTCAAGTTTGTGCCTTCACCCCGTGCCAAGTTCCTCAGTGATGTTGTTGGCCTTTCTTTGCTCCTGCCTCTGCTGATGTGTCTCCTGCTGCCTCGGCAGAGCCCCTGCCCTGGCCCTTCCTCCCATGGGAGCTGCCTCAGGAACAGCAGGGTTTGTGCCCCTGGCTACCACTCAAGGAAAATCTCCAAAATCTCCGTGGCTGTTGTGAAGGCACCGGGCAGCTTTCCCCTCCGAGCAGACAATAGGCCTTTAAGGCCTGAATTCCAAAACATCATTCCCTCCCAGAACTCCACATGGAAAACGCTTGCATTATCAGGAGAGAAAGCTCCTGTGTGTTACTGGGTGGTGGTGGATGATTTATTTTTGACTTTCCTCCTTCATTTAAGAGTCCAGTATAAGCTCTGAGCGCTCAGAGTGTTTCTGTCCCTGGGAAGCAGCAGGGCTGGGTACCTGTACGTGGCCACGGAGCAGCCCTGGCACCCTGGGCATCCCGCCGCCGGCCAGCACTGCGCCAGCAGCCTCGGTGGCACGGCCAAAGGCAGGGACAAACAAGTGTGGTGCCCGTGTGCTTCACTCCTGCACTCTCCCTCTGAGCAGTGAGGGTTACAGCTGGGGCACAGGCTTTGAAAAATGCTCAATTTCTCCCAGTCGTCCCCTTCAAGGAACCCGTATCTTGGGAGTAGGTTGGCATTTCCAGTCTCTGTCCTACCACCCATCCCCCAGGTCGTGTTGCTCGCTGGTATTAACCAGGTTTGACTTTCTTTTGCAGGGCTAGAGTCCAACCGCATATTTTTTTTAATTGAGGGGGAAGAAACAAAACATTGAATCGACACAGAGGATCTCATCAGTCACCACTGCCATTCGGATTGGGAGGGCGTTGCCTCGCTCACCAGGCCACGGGTGCCGGGAGGGTGCGGGGAGACGCCCCCGGCGCGGGCCGTGGCCACCCCCCAGCACCATGCCTTACAGCAGGACACTTGGCCTTGTGCCCCCCGCGTCCCGCAGGAACGGCCACCGCCTCCCCCTCCTCCCACCCCCGCCAGAAGGACGCAGCGAGGAGGGAGACCCGGGCCCCCGCCGCCTCCTCGGTGACTCCCGCCTGCGGACGGGGCCAGGTCTGAGAAGCGACGGTCGAGCGGCCGCCGAGGCGACAGCTTCACGAGGGAAAGAGACACTGCAGAGTATTTGAAGTAATACCGTAGGTGTAGCCATGAAGATAATAGCACTTTTCTGGTTTGGGGCTCGTTGTTTTATTTTTTTTTTTGTTTTGGGGGATTTCTTTTGAACTGTGAATCTAACATTTTTTTTAAAGGCTTCTTGAGAAACGTTTAGGTTTTCTTTATTATTTCCACGGAAAGTGCAGGAATGTTGAGTGGGTTTATTGGATTTCAACGAAGGGAGAAAAACAAAAACTATTAAACGCTGGTCAAATGAACTGGAGAGTGGATGAGGATGGCTGCGAGCTGTATAATCTGCTTTTAGAGTAAGCTATATCAATCACGGCACTATATTATTATCGTTATGATCTGGTGTATAATACTTCTGCCTTTTGCATTCTGTAATGGCTCTGTTTTCATTTCCACATATTGAAAAGCAGTTTATTGAAGGTTTCCATGTCCCTGGTTCAGAAATCCATGCTGAGGAGTGGAGCTGGCTGGCTCTTTATGTTCTTGTTCTCAAAGATTGCAATAAGGAGCTTTTACATCTTAAACGCAGCAGTGTCGCGTTGATGATGATTAACAATTTCTTTTGCCATAGCTGTTAACACATTGGAAGAAAATAGGAGCTTTTTTGTAGGATGTCTTATTTTAAACATGCTCTAAATTTTAGATGGGTCTGTTGTTGTGTTTCATGGTAAATTTATCATTGTTGGATCCATGTTTGCTTTGGGCTATAGATCCCGACGAAAAATGCCACTAAAGGGAACTGGTTTGGCATTTTTTTAAATCAGCATCATGATTTCTGTGCTCCTTTGGTTTTGTTTTGAGATTATGTATTTCATTTGGTGTGAAGATCACCCGTGTGCATCGCTTCTCCTCTCAGGTGCCAAGGCCTGCGTGTGTAAGGGGGAATTTGTACCTCACGAGAACGTACTCTGCAAACACAGAACAAAATGGCTTCAGGTCACTGATTTTCTCCAGGCGTTGGTCACGCGAGGGCAGCAGATGAGAATAGGAAGCAAATGCCTCACTAGTAGCAGCAGAGGACTTTTGCTGATTTTATTTGGTTGCCACTGTTCTTCGATTGCCACGTTTCGTTTTAAACAAGCTCCTAAAAACGGTGTGACTGGAAAGCACATTTTTGAATCTAGCAAACATCATTTGCGGTTTTCAGTGCCTGCCGTTTCCTTTGTAATTAAAAAGGGGAAATATCCAACAACCTCACCTCCCCAGAAATATTACTGTAATAGTAAACATCTAAAATTTTTTGTAAAAAAAATTTAAAAACTTTAAAAAAAAAGCAAGTACCAAGAGCTTTGTATCTTCTTGAGTATATTAAAAATTTGACATGAATACATATATATAAATAAAAAAATCTATATATCTATATATATATATTGTTGTGCAGAGGATAGGTTAACTAAACCATGTAAAGTAGTTTGCAGGAGAGGGAAGCATTTGTTGATTCAGGGAAAAAGGCTGATGCCAGAAGCTGTCAGTGGTTTGGATGATACATCTGCTCCTTCGCACCCTCCCTTTCCCCCCCCCATCCCCCCCCCACGCCAGGCGGTGGCTTCGGGATCCCGGGGGAGGCGAATTTACTCGGAGCAAATTAAGATAGCAAAGATTTGGGGTTTTCGCCTGCGTGAGAGTCCTCTTGGGCCAAAGATGCTGAGCGGGTCGAGGGAAGCCAAGAGGTAGATCTGTGATTCTCTGCATTGGTGTCGGGGCAGCGTCTCTCTGTGTGTGACATAAAGTGTGGCAACGGACCCAGACCCATCGTCCGACTGTATATTCTATCAATGGTGCTCTTTTCATACTTGTTCTGCCAATACGCGGAGACCCTTTTAACCAAGCTACACAGAAGAGTTTTATATCACTTTTGGTTATGTACTTGGTGTATTCTTTTTGTATATGAAAGGATTTTTTTAAAAACGTTCAGTAATTAGCAATGGAACCTGCTTTGTAGCTGATTAGAACAGTGTAAGAGAAGGGCCGTGCTGTCAGTCTGTCCCTGATCTACTTCAAACCACGTATTTACCAAAGGAGTCTGAGCAAAAGTTCACTTAAAATAAAGACCTGACTGTTGAAAGGAGTCTCTGCTAAGACTTTGTGATTTAGTTATTGTACAGGAATCTCACAGCCAGTAAGAGGTGAACAGAGAGAACGGCAGGAAGGGGGAAGCGAAGTGACCGGGGGCAGTTCTGTCCCTGCCCCCCCTCCCAGATCCCCGTGGCTCTCCATGGGGCACCACGGGACACTCAAATCTGGATTGGAACCGGCTTTGGTCTCTGTCATTGTTGGGCTGACAACCCCGAGGAGTGTTTAGGAAGTAAATTCATACCCTATCCCGCTTTCCCCCCAAATTCCATTTGTATTTGTGCTGCGTCCTGCGATATCGACCCCCGGGCAGGGCTGTGGCCTCGGCTGCTGGGGTCGGTGCAGAAAACTGTTCTTTGTTTTCCTGGGGTAAGTGTTGGTGGCAGCCAGCGAGGCTGTGAGCCAACAGCGTGGTGTATTGCGAAAGAAAAGCAAAGGATGGTGTATCAAGAAGTCAAATGCCAAGTCCCCGTGCCAAGACTTCCCCTGGGAATGGCGTGTCCTGCCCCTGCCCTTCCCATGCCTTACAGCAAGGAGGATTTCCCGAGTGTGTAGCAATAACCCAGCACTTACGTCATTGTGGGGTTTTTGATTTCTCACCGAACTGTTGTTGGGATGCTGAGGAAGGAAGAAGGGTTGGGGGTGACTTGAACGTGAGGCCATCGCCTTGTAGTATCAGCCCCACCAGATGGGGTCCAAAGCAAGGTACTTTGAACCACGCCTGGTGATTAATGTCTCTTTTATCCATGGCCAGGAGCGTGTGGTGGCACATGTGCCCATGCCTCTTCCCTCGCTGGCACGAGTGTGACTGGCTGCTCCGGCTGTTCTGGGATGTGTGTGGATGAACCTGTAATTGTTGTGTTTTGGCAGCAGGGACTGTACGTAAAGAAGGGAAAGCGGCAGAGTGTGTGACTAAAGCTGCAGTAGGTCTGGAGTCTCCTGCTCGAAGGCAGGTGGTGTTTTTTAGGGCTCAGGTACGTGACCTCCTCTTTTCCTGTGAGCTCTGCTGTGAAAATGGGAGGGAACCTGCCTGCAAAGGGCTGGGGTAGAAGAGATTTCTACCTGCAGAGGTTTCTAGTGGGAGGGGTGGTTGTGGAAGGAAGTGATGGTGTTGCAAGGCTCCTGCTAGAGAGAGGAGGAGGAAATTTGATGGCCCAGTGAGGGCTGAGATAACACAGGGAGAGGGAGACTTCTGATGGCAAGTAATTACTGCAGAACTTTCTTCCCAGGGAGGCGCATCTCCCAGGCTTTAAAAAAAACCCCTTGTGTGTCAAGACTCCCCTGGAGAAGCATCAAGTTTGACTGTTGAGTGTGTGAGCAGTTGTTGTTGTGCTTACAGCGTCCCGGGCCGGTCTGTCTGTCTGTCTGCAGGAGCCGAGGAGGAGAGTGGAAGGGCAAAGCTTTTAGTTTCTGTCTTGGAATTCAGGAGCAGTTCAGCCACAAGTTGAACTTGACAACTCAAGGTGTGTTGCCAGCTTGAAACGCTCCCCAGGGAACAGCTTGGGCAGCCGCGGGTCCTGGTCTTCAGTGTCTTCTGGGCAGAACCTGCCCATCCCAGTCCTGCTCTCGGGAGCTCAGATGTGCTGCTGCTGAACGTGGCTGTGTCGGGAAGGAACCCCGGGCTGTGTTGGTGAGACATCACGCAGGGACTCACCTGGGGACGGAGCGGGCTCGCTGTGACACAGGGACACAGCAGGGGGTGCGTGCTTGTTACTGCAGATGAGGAAGGTGTTGCCTGTTCCCAGAAGTTTTCAGTGGTGGTTTGGAGCGTGCGAGGGTTGTGCTGGGCAATCCTGGAGTGGTTCTGTGAGCTGGAAGGTGAGTTCCCCTCCGTTCCTTGCCTTAAAGCTGCGCGCGTGGCTCGGCTGCCTGTGAGAGCTGTGCATCTGACACCCTGGGAGGAAGCAAAGCTTCAGAAGCCCCGTGGGACATCGGAGCAGTCCCTGCCTCCTCGCACCCGCGGCAGCACCCGGGGAGCCGGTACCTCCACAGTTCTCAAAGGTGTCGAAATAGGCTTAGTTTCTTGCCAAATTTCGTTGTTTTGATGTCCCTAAAATCTGGTGTTTCCTTATCTGCGACGGATCAATTCTCAGACTGATTGGTACAATAACTAATCTAGTGCATTTAAGGGGAAGGTGTTATGAACCTTTTTTTTTTTCCTGTCTTAAGTTTTCCATTAGGGTAGGATGTTCTGAACTCCGAGGCGAGGAGGAAGATAGCGCAGATACTACAAGGCCTGCCAATCTGGTTCTTACTGTTCAGAGAAACAAAATTAACTAGACTAAGAAGCTTACTGGTAATTAGTAGCTAATGTGTTTGTAACTATCATGTGCCTTAAAATTTTCATGGTAGGAGAACTAAAAAAAAAAAAATCAACAATGTGTTTTCTGTAATACTGCTCAACATTCTCTCTGTAGTTTAGACTGGTGGGATTTTGCATTGTATTTACACTGTACTATAAACTGAAACACTTGGAATGGTTTGATTTTACAAGTATGGAGAGGAGAAAAAAAAAAAAAAAGGTGGATTATGCTTTTCATAGAACAAATGTTACCGTGACAGAATGTATTATTATTATAGGATCTTTCCATAATGCAGACAAGTAGAATGCTTGTTAGAAACCAGGTATGTAGGATAACAATTTGGTGTGTTTTCAATAAACCATGCCTGGAAAGAATCCCGTGCCATTGGTTATCTTTTTGTGACGTCAGGTACCTCCAGTGCCCGTCGGCTTCAGAGCAGCAGTTCCTGCGCAGGGCAGCGCTCCGCCGGGCCCAGGGTAATAAGGCGACTGGAGCAGCCTTAAAGGAGTTCAGCTCAACCGTGTGGATTCACTGCCGTGCGCTGGAGTTGTAGCACAAATCCTGCGAGGACCCTGGACTGCAGATCATGGGGGTTCTTCCCCTTTCAATATTCTGTCGTATTTCCGTGGCAGACGTCTGCGTCACTGGTCAAAGGCCTGCACGCTCGGAACCACAGGCTGAACTTGCTGATGGCTTTTCCACTGGGGACCTTATTAACCTTTCCCAATTTAGTCATAAAATCCTTGTAGCTTTACAAAGACTTCACGTTTCTGAAATGTGTGCAAGTATTCTCATAGATACAGGTGTGTAAGAATAACAAAATCTTTAAGCTTATTGTAGTGATGTATGAGGTTTGGTTGACACGAGAAATTGTTATTTTGGCGATGTTCTAAATAACTTGCATTTGTTGCTGTGCAGGAGAAAAATCCCGATACTGGAAAGTCCTCGTTGTATTTCAAGCAGCAGCCAGTTACCAACAGATCTCCTTCTCTTGAGCTGTGCCCCTCCCTGGCACGTTGGTCTGTGTTGGTGCCTTCAGCAGGGGACTGATTCACCCACGGACATCACACTCAGCACCCTGCCCTCCTGGAGCTGGAGAAACCCAGTGAATCCTGGCACGGGGCCCTGCGAGGGGGGTCAGGTTCTCTGTGAGTGAAGGGCTGATGTATCTGTGCCAGTAACAGAGGTTGCTGTACGTTAATGCCTGATCTCAGCACTAGAAGGTTCCATTTCCTTGCCGATGCTTGCAGACAGCACGTGGGAGGTCATCTGCAGCTTGCATTCCCCCCTGACTTCAGATGTCCCAAATGCATTCCCAGTTTTGTAAAACCGTCTCCAGATCCTGTTCTGGCAGCTGGAGGATGTGATTTCACAAGTGCTGTGGTAAGACAGGAGCTCCCAGGTGCAGTATCTTGCTCCCTGGTCCCACCGGTGTCCTGCTGCAGTGAGGAACTGGATTTTTCCTCTGTGGATGCACTAATACAGCAACGACTAGCAGATGCTGTAGGTAAGGTCCTGAGCTAAAACAAGTATGTTGTTTCTACAGCTGACCTTTATAGCTGTCAAAATGATTTCATTTCCAGTGTATCCCGGGTTGGGCAAATGGAAGCAGCGAGTCCTGGGGGTGAAAGGTTAACCTGGTAATGATGGGCAAGAAATATCACAGCCCTCATCTCTGCCAGGTTCTAGCAGTGTCTCAGGGGAACATTCTGTCCTCGTGGGTCTCCTCCCCGGTGTCTCTCTGTGAAGGTCTCTCTGCAGCTGAAGCACAGCAGTGGCAGAATCTCTGGTACGAGCTGATGGGATTTATTACAATGGGAGGTTGTTTCATGCAGGGACCATTAACTGAGCTGTAGAATCAGAGGCAAAGACTGAAGCTCTTTTAATATGTTTGATGTGTGTGCACAGCAAGTATAGGTAGTTATTACTCATAAGATACCTTATAATTGATTCCTGATTGATTGCTCCACCAAGTGAGCACACATCACTGGTGGTGTCACCTTCAGTGGGAGCGTTGGGATCTCCCTCGTGCTCTTGTAGGGGTGTCTCTATGTTCTCTACACCGCTCCAAGGCTCAGAATTGGTCAGTGGGGTGCTTCTCACTGCCTCACCCTGACAGGAGGAAGCAGTAGCTCCTGTACAGACCTATGACCACTGTTGGCTCTGAGTTATTTCTGCTGTAAGACTGCTATGTGGGTGCTGTTTGCTCAGTTTGGTACTAAATTAGGAAGTGAAAGGGACTAATGCTGTGATTGACCCCCTCCTCTTCTATGCTGATTTAAAGAATCAGCATTTTGAAAGACAAACATCATGTCCCTTTGAGGTAACAGAGAGGCTCTGGCAGGAACCAGACCCCACTTTCCCGTGCTGCTGAATTGAGAAGACAACCCAGAGAGTAGCTGTCACTTGGAGACCAGACCTCAACTGGCAGTAACTGGTGGGATCAACCATTGGTGACACGAGTTGTGAGAAGTGGCCAAAACTGCATCTCGTTTCAGGGCAGTTCTCTCCAGTGGGTTTCTCTCTCGGGGTTGCTCCCGGTGGGCAGTCCTTAAACACACTTCCAGAAGCACAACTCCATACCCACCTTGTGCAGGAACAGGCTGTGTCTTTAATTGCAATAGGCTGATGCTGCGGTAACACTCGGTGAGTTTTTAGACTCTGTTTGCATTAGAAGATCCATTGTCTGCCTTGTGCTTCTCCCAGAATTCAAAGCAGGCATGACTTTATTTGGAAAAGTAAATCTTCTCCCTGGGAGATTTCACACTTATGTGTCAGCGACTCCACGTCGTGTTTGCTTAACTGACCATGGCCTTTTCTCTGATTGTCAGTCAGGCGAACAGTCGATCGTGTTTGCTTAACTGACCAAAAGCCCTTTCTCTGATTGTCAGTCAGGCGAACAGTCGGGCTTTTTCCTTTTCATCCCTTGCCACCAATAATTAAGAGCATTTCAGAAGTGTGATCAAGTGGAAAAAAATTTCTTGCGTTTGGAATTCTGTAAGTAATCTGATGGTACATACACTGTGTTTATTTTTACAATTTGACATGTGGGAGATTCTGTCTAATGAATTAAAATGCCTTTTTTTAATACTAAAAGGTGGCTGTTGTATTTTTACATATATTACACATGCATTATTGACTAATGCATCTTTTGAAATATCCGTGTGAACTCTGCAGGTTCCCTCCTTCCATAATTATCTTGCCAGTCTCTCGGGTGGTAATTTTGGCCATTAACTAGCAGTAGGAATGTATTTTTCTGATCCTCTCTTGTAAAGTGCAGAACACTCTACCTGTTTCCTTCAGCCTGTACCTGAGACTGGCTTGTTTCTCAGTACGTGTTAAGGCCCTGCTCTGCAGGGGTGTTTAGGTGCAAAGGTGTGTAAAGCTGGAAACAATTTGGAGTCATGACCTTAGGTACAGAAAAATATTCTGGTCAACTATATTTATGCTGATTTTCCAGTGTGCTCTAGAACTTGTGTTTGCAGGTAAATGGGCTTGAAGATCATTTTCTTTTGCAAATTTTGCAAAAATTGCTTGGACTCACCTGAAGGACGTTGAGTTCAGCCTGAATACCAAGAGGACGTGCTGCTAAGCAAGCTTACAGAATAAATCATCGACTTCTTCACAGTGTGGGATGGAAGTGTATGAACTCAGGGTCTGCCCCTATGCAAGGCAGCACAAGAGTCACACGGGGCTGCTTCTGCATAGTTGGATCCAGTAGAGTAAATCTTTGGTCTTTCTCAATGTGACAGTTTAAATTGCTAAAGGAATTCTGACGATGTTGCCTTCTCATATCCCTGTGAAGGGCACCCATTACACGCTGGCTGGGTCACCAGGGTTTGCTTTGTCCATCTCTGAACTGACGCTGTCACTGTCGCCTGCTCTAGTTTTGGTTGATGCTGTGGGGCAGTTCTCTGCTCTCCATGTGGATGGACGGTCTCTAGCACTCGGGCCGGGCAGACACCACTCCTGCAAGGTGGGCTATAAAGGGAAGACGCCGATTATGGGTCTGAAAGAATCCATAATGGGAAAGGTGAGAATGGTTATCGCTGATTTTCACTCTGATTTTCAGCTGTTGGATCTTTCTGTGGCTGTTCCAAGGCTGGAAATCCCAAGTGCAGTGCAGAATTCACGGGAAACAAAGGAAGTCACATGCCTGCTCTATCATTTTTTAGTTTTTACTTATAAATGCAACCATTGCCTCAGGACATGCCAGGAAATGCTGGTGGATTTTTGCATTGTTCAGATGAGTTTGAGACTTTGGCTTTGTATCATCTCAATGACAACCCTCACTGTTCACATAGTGTTACCACCACTGGGGTTAACCGGGGTGGGCAGGACCCACCTGGTAAAACCCATTCTCTCTGGTCTTTATTTTTATACAGCATCTTCAACATACAAAGCACTTCAGAGTAAGCAGCTTGTCCTGCCCCTAAAAAGCATAATATATGGATACACAATATAATGAGGGGATAAGTAAATACGAGGGGATAAACAGCATTTGCTCAAGGTCTCTGATATCATGTAGCTTTGGTGTTCCTTTGGAAAGATCTTGCTCTTTTTGTCTGTTTTTGTCTGTTACTGTGTTTGGTATAATCTATTCACTACATCAAGTTTCCCTAACTCTGCGTGGGTGGATTAATAATTTTATTTGTCTACTGCAAAATTCTGTTTTATTGTCTCATCACTGCATGGGTCAGTAATCTTTCAGTGCATGCCCTTTTCTCTAGCACAGAGATGATTAACTTTTGCAATAACTATGCAAAAATGTACCTGATAGCATGATAGGAACCTTCACTGCATTAAGGGGCATGCTAGTAGTTTAGCAAAATTGGGGGTCCTGAACTAGTCTTTTCTTGCAGCATGGATCCTTTTTGCCACTCTTGGTAATGATTAATCAGTTTAGCTTGGGGACACAAACCTTCAGAAGTGACTTTCTCCATCCCACCCTAAGCCCAAACCGTGGTTGGTTGGGTTTGAGCTCAAAATAACAGACTGTGGTGTTTGATGATGTGTTGGTCAAGGCAAGGCAATGTGCATCACCCTGGGTTTGCTGAATGGTGTGAAACAATGGAACAGACCTGTGAGCAGACTTGCTCCCGATCCTGGTTTCCAGCTGATCTAAAGTGATCTCCACTAGTGCTTGCTGCAATTACAGGCTCCAAAATACAAAAAACCCAAAATTTAAAGCATGGACAAGTTAACTTGTGCAGTTGCATTTACATCATTTGAAACAAAGGTTGAGTATTAATGGCACTCTCTATCCCAAAAACACAGCCTTTTCCATAGCATCCTCCACTTTCATATATTCCAGATGGGATGGGTAGTTAGTGCACTGGAAACGGGGGTTGTTGCGGATATACTTAAGGAATTCTGGAGCTCCAGGGACGATGACATTGTCAGCCAGAAGAACTGAGCCCTTCCTCAGCAAGTTGCATTCCTAGAAAGAAGAGAAATTGCTTCATGGTGGCTGTTAAGCAGACATTGGCTTGAATGTAATGTGCTTTCATGTTAACCATGTCCTACTCCAGTGCCTGCATCCAAAAACTCATTGTACTACAGGTTTGGGGGGAAGAAAAGACATGAGAGAAGCTGAGTGACTCCCCGATCCTTTGTGGTCGTGGTCTTTCTGTTAACACAATCAGTAGAACATCAGAGATGCTGATAAGATGTTGGGTCATTCAGGTTCTGAAATAGCAAATCAAGTGCAGGACAGGTGTGCAGTTTGCTGCTCAGATTGTATCCAGCTGTGGCTATATGGTTGGCTTTCATGCCTAACATTTGAAAACTTTTAATATGGCATTAAAATGTTGTGGTAGCTTTTAAGGTCACCCAAGAGAGTGGCAGGTACCAGTCTGCTTTGGCCAGTCTCAGTCAAACTCCAAAACCACTAAATGAATAAAAGAGATTTTCTTTTGATCTTGTACAACTTTCTGCCGCTTGGTTCAGGGGCTGGGCATGAAGCAGGGTTTGTGCACAATGAAGATCACTGACAAATTTCCACAAGGCATAATTAACTTGCAACATTCACTTCAAGTGCAGTGTTTATCCTCAGTAAACCTACAAACCTAATTTTTACTGGTATTTTTTTGTCTAGTAGAAGTTGCTTATCTGAGCTTACCAGCTGGTTTAAAACAGCAAGCCTGCAGTTAATCAGGCTGGTTGTTATCCTGTGGTTACAGACAGCAGTCGTAGCCAAAACATGGGGTGGCTTTTGTCACTCCCAGTCTATTAGAGAAGCCCTGTTGATGAGTGTGCTGTGGAGGCTGTTCAGCTTACTGCTTTTGCCTCTGGTGCCTGAGCACCAGTCAGCACAGCAGAAACTATTTTAAAAGCATGGCAAATACCCTCTGGTCTGTTGCACAGTTTACAGAAAGCTATAAGTGACAACATGTGATATTTTCAACTGGTCAGCAGGATTTTAGATACTCTTTGTGTCAGGTTTTTCTAGAAGTCCATGAAAAGGAAGCTCTCTGGGCCACTTTCACTATATCTGAGTATTTTACATTCACATTTCCTATTCACTATTCGTATTGCAATACATGCCAAAATTGCATGTTAGAAGGTTTGTAACATCTGAGAAAATGTAGGGATCTTTTCTTCATCTTTCTCCTCTTAATTGCACAAGGGGTTTTTTAGGTGAAGCAACTTGGTGTGACAGTTGCATCAGCCTGACACTGGGATGGAGCTGAGCTCCCTGTTTGTTTTGGCTGTGGTGTGGAGGTTAAGCTCTGATAAGGATGCGCTTGCTCTTCCTGGTGGAAAGAGCCCCGTCATCCTTACACAGCCACTTCAAAAGAAAACTTTCTCTGGGTACAAAATAACTGTAGGGAGGGAACATTTTCTTCAGCTACTTGGATCAAGTGTTCCAGTTAGTGACCATGCAGACGCTCCTTCCAGGGAGCAAAAGACCCAGCTGATGCCATCCTCCAGCTGGGATGTCTGCTGCAGGCCCAGGAAACAACATAGTTCAGCAGGATTTGCGAAGCCCTGAGCTATGTAGTGTTGGCATTGACCTTGACACAAGTTTGGGATCCTCTCCCCCAAATCCTCTTTTCTTGTAAGGATGCTGTCCTCCATTGTACAGGTGAGGTCCTCCATGGAGAGTAAAGGCCTCACAGACATCATGACATTGGCTACTTCACTTTTAAGACTGGAATTGTGCAAACTGACCTGAATCAGGATGGTGTCTGGTGTGTATTTGTCTTTCCAGTGGTCCAGGAAGACAAAATCCAGAGTATCCACTTCATATTTTTTCTTCAGCTGGGGAATAATTTCCTCTGAAGGGCCTTCTAGGATTTTTACCTGAAATGCAAATCCACCTGATTAATTGCGCACCATTATGAAAAAGCACATGCCTCTAGCTCCTTTTAAATTGTGGCCAGACACCAACTACCCTATTTACAGCTCATTATTGTGTCAGTTGAATTTTTTCATAGAGTTAGATCAAGTGGACTTTTTTCTTTTTGGCAAATCAACTCAATTATGTTCCAAAACATGAGCTTGGTTTATTTTTTTAATAATAGCAGAAAAAGTGGCCTGTTGTTTCTGTTGGATAATGTGATTCTTTACTGGAAACTCCTGGGAATCTCCTGTTGAAAACAGTACCTTTAATTACTTCTTTAGTTGCATCTCAGTTGGATGTTGTAGTCCAAGGGAAGCGAAAAATACAGAGCCCAGGTTAGTTGAGAATGAAGCGTGAGGCTACAGCATGTAAAACTGGTATGGGCAGTGGAGGGAGGAGGCAGCACAGAGGCTATTGCATCGTCCTCACAGGTTTATTGGCATAACTTTTGCTAAACTGAGAGAAGCCACTGTGCACTGATTTGATACGGAAGTGCCATACACCGTGAGGGGAGGAAGAGAGTGGTAAGGAAATCTGTCTGGCTTATGACTCATAGCTGATGGGGAGATTAAATCAGATGGGGAAAATGCAATTTTACATGTCACTAGTTCTTTAGGTTCTCTTCAAGAAGTTAAGAAACACATTAGAAGACCTCATGGTAAGATTTATTTCCTCTAGTTTTTGTCATCTACATTTAAGTGTGTTGTCTGGTTGAACAGACGGGTTCTTCTCAGGCATGAATCCCTTGACCTGCCGTGGATGTCTGCCTTGGGCCAAGATGGATTATAGACCGGAATTCCTGCCTTTGAACCAACTGTACAGAGAGTCAAGACACCTCAGATTGCACAAAATTTAGGTATGTGTATTGGAACCAACTAGATTTGGGTAAGTACATCTCATCTGAAGTCCGTTGCACATAGTGCCACTGCTGCTTATGAGCTTTTGTAACAAATTAGACTACGGTTCTGTTTTCTGTTGTGCTCAGTCTTGACACTGATTTGAACATTTTAGTTTCTAGAGAGAAAATCAATATTCTAGACTTGTTTTGGGGAGGTAACAGTGAAGTTCTCAGCTGTGCTGCTGTGAGAGGTCAGGGACTGTAACTAGGCACGGAACTAGTTAAATTAATAAGGTCTGTGAGTGCAAGAAAAAAAGAATGTGAACAAATGTCAGATGGAAATCACAGAAAGGCTTCTGATTATCAGGAGGAGGAATCTGTGGGGTGTTCTTGCAGTTCAATAATGGCAGTAAATCTAAACAGTTTTGCAATAGTGGTTACTAATTTATGAAAAGGACTGTGTGTGCTGATGTCCTGTGACTACAGTAAGTGAAATAACTGACTCCAGAGCCTCCCTCCAGACCTGCATTATTCTTGGAGTCACTACAGGTTTTGAGAATAGCCTGTCTCCTGTACTAACCAGTGAATAGTGAAGAGGCCAAACTGGAAGATGAAGTCTAAATGCTTTCAAAATGTTAAGGAGATACGGATGTATGTGATTGTTTCTGGTCTTGTCTCTCCGAATCTTCATCCTGAGTCACACAGCAAAGAACTCTGGAGAACAGCTCTGATTGTTTTGGTCACAGTCACATACTGACAAGCCTCGAACTCTCTCTGACTCTCGGCTGGGTCAGCGTCGTACTTGGACCCCTGACTGATGCCAAGAAATTTAGCTCACTTGCACTGTATATACAGAAGAGCAGATGACCTTGGTCCTCTGCATGGGCACTATTGAGCCTGATGGTTAACTCTGCTTGTTCCCAGATGCTCAGGGTGTCGGACTTGCTTGACAAGTAAATAACAAATTTAAACCTGTTATTGTTATTTCTACGGATAAAGTCTCACTCTCCATGTATTGCTTCCTCATACCAATCAGAGACAAATGGTCTTTACCTTATCTTGTACTCCAGCAAACTCAATGATCTGTTTAGCGATAGCAGCAAACTCGGGGTTGAACTCCACGGTGAGAAGACGAGCTCCTGCCTTCAGCAGGCGAGCGATCCTCACGGCTGAGTACCCACAGTACGTGCCCAGCTCCAGGGCAACTGAGGGCTGCACCTCTTCCACTGTCTTGTCTAGAATTAAACCTGAATAAAAGGGAAGCAGGTTGACTTTTGTCAAGATCAAACTGGTTCACATATAGAAGAGCAAGTTACTGACAAGAAACTTACAAAATCCATGTACTCAGTTGCTCAGGACATTCAAAAATTAAGGGCTGTTGTCAAATTATATACTGCTTCCTTTGCAAATTGGCTCATGTATAATCAAGTTGATCATGGACATTCTCAGTTTCAAAATGCAAACTTTCAACTAAAAAAATCTTACTTAGTTTCAAAATATAAACATTTTGGAGTAAAGAAGTGCCTGAATTAACTAAAACATTTATAATGTTACAAGGGGAAAATGCAGTGTTTTTTTCCAAGAGTTTATTGTAGAAACTGGCCATATTTGTGAAATATGTAATGCTTGAATTTTGAGTGCTCGTATTTGTTGCAAACGTTACATGCAGTGGTCTGATAGAAAATTTCTCATCCTAAATACTTTTTCTTAGAGGGAAAAAGAAAAGTCTAGTTACAAAGTTGCAAAATATTTGGATTCACTAGATGAATTTGTGGGATGGAAACATTAGTCAATTGTTAACAACAAAAAACATTCCCAAAAAGCAGTGAGAGTGCACTATATTCAGTCCTTCTGAAGAAAGGGATTTATTTGTGAGAAAACTGTCTTCTCTTACTTGTGTGGCTGGAAACTAGAAACTAATCTCAAAAAGTATATGATGGGATTTTACTCTGAGCCATGGAATTTTTCAGTGTCCGTGTACATTTCATTCCGTGACACTTTCCTGGGTGTCACTTGTTTATGAACAGTCTGATGATGATGAGATTTTGAGATCGTGTGGTCACTCGCAAAATCTTAGGAACTAAAGATGTGTTAACTTTGATGGTTCCTATCTGAGGAAATGTGATCCTGTCAGAGCAAAACTGGAGTGAAATTTTTAAGAATATAATCCCAAATGATCAAAGTTTAGAGCTTTAAGAGTTCCCCCTCAGCCACCACCTACTGTTGTGCTGCCCTGAGCACCCCAGCTTGGTGTGCAGAGGAGCTAGTTTCACAAAACGTACCCGTGACAGAGCAGCATTTTTGTTACTGTGCTTACAGTTGTATTTCATTAGCTATGTTAATCCCAGACTAAGCTAATTTCCCCTGCAATTTCCCAGCAAGAAGTACTTCAGTGTCTAATTCATAAGGGAACATGTTAATGTTTTGCCATTACAGTTTTTTGAAAAGACTGACACTTTCTTGCAGCTAAGAATAAATGTTTTGTCCACATATTTTCCTTCAGGAGGCAAGAACAAGATGATTTACTCGCTAAGTAGCAACAATGTCTGACAGCTGCTTTTGTGTATGACGTGGGCAGGATTTCTCTCTTCAACAGTAGCTTATAACTTCTGCTCGCATATACAAAATTCATATAGTTTAAAACACTTTAAATTGCTATCTTTTGGTTAAGGATCTGAAAGTACTTAACATAATGAATTATGCATTAAGGCCACCCTGTGTAGGAACTGAGGTACAGCACAACCCTAGATTCTTCCCGTAAATTGCTCCCCTCTGCTCACACACGGGCAACGTGCACCACACACAAACCAGCCTCAGCTCCTCACAGGACACCCCTCCTCAAAGGCACGGCTGGTTACCGAGCTGCTCTGCTGCCCACCAAGCTGCTGTGGGTTAGTTTCCAGCAGATGGGAGTTCCCATTTGAATACAATAAGACATCCTGTGCTGTGCTAGTCTGGCAGGATCTCTCGAGTGCTGATCCCTGCTGCAATTACCTTTCTCATCGCCCACGTTCATGGCCCACTCTTTCTGGGAGCAGTACTTATCTATAGTGTCCATCACACTACGGGGGTCTCCTCGGACTGCGTTCTGCAGCACAAAATTTAAAATCCTCTGTTCTTTGCTCTGATTCATGATGAAATTGGTTATTTTCTCCCGGATTATTTCATTCCAGATAAGGGCAGCGCTGGCATTTTTCTTGATGAGCACCACAAAGAGCAGCAAAATGAAAAGCAGGAGGAAGACAATGAACAAAAGGACTGAAGAGCTCTCCAGCATCTGGAAGGAAAGAGAAAAACAGCCCAGGGTTAAGGTGGCACAGGAGAGCGCTATCCTTTTTATAAATACGAAGCTGAATAACCCACAACCAATCATACCGAACAGGAACACACAGGGTTTAATTATGATATTTTCCAGAGTAGCTGGAAATGACTCTCTGTCACTTGGTAATGGATGGTGCTCTGTGGCACTCCCTTTAGAAGCCAATTTTACAGGCAGTCAACAAGTAGCTTTATTTAATGCTCGGGTCCCTTCCCCCACGCAGCTGCTCAGGCTGCCTCCACACATGCCACTGCACAAGGAGCCTCTCAGTACCAAAGCTGTTCCAGCCATTTTTCAAACGATTTAAAAATCTTAAATTAGAGCCTGCATGTGATCCCGCTCTCCTAATTTTCGAGCAAAGGAAAACTTCTAAGCTGGCAGTGGTAAGAAAATATGGAACATCTCACCCTTTAATTTTCAGCACAGAATCAGCAGCCGGGCACTGTGGGATGGCATTGTTTGGAACCAGTCTGCAGGTCCCAAGTCACTGCCCTGTGTGCTCTGCAGAGCCCTCAGCTTGTGGCAGCAGGACTCAACCTGCCCCTTCCCTTCAGAGCCTGCAGCCCAGGTACCCAGGTGGAACAGTTTACAAAAGATAGTAGCCTTTTTTCCTGCTTATAAAGCCTTTGACACAAGCCATCAATCTGATAACTTTTGAGAACAAAAGATGCGTTTTCTTCTATAAAGTAGGGATGTTTTCTCACATAAAGCTGAATCCCTGAATCAAAGACCTCTGGCTCATGAAATTGAAGAGATGCAATTAAAGGGCACATTGTGCTTCTGATGGGCCAGCTCAAATTATCTGGTAGGACTGTGCCTACTCTCCCCCTGAAGTCCCGTGCCATGGCTGCAGGTGCCTGTGTGCAGCGGGGGGTGTGTGTTCCTGTTTGTCCCTGAGTTTAGGGCGTCTGAGCATTCAGCTCAGCAGATAGGATGCATGTCACCCTGTACAGCTCAAGCAATAAATCCTATCAAAGCCATTGACTCAGATGGATTTCAGACAAGCCAGTATATAGTGCTCCCACGCAAGAGTCACAGCACAAAAGATCTGATAAAGAAGGGGTTCTTAAAATTAAGGAATTGATTTAGGCTTTGAGAAGGTGCCAAAGTCAGGGTTGTGATTTGCCTGAGGATTCTCTGCGTGTGAAGCTTCTCTCATACAACCCAAAACACACCTTGGCTTCGATGATGCAGCTGATAACACCTCTGCTTCTCCACCTCCGCTCCCCACGAGTCGGGGCTGGCAGTTGCACACCAGGAGGAGAGCACGGGTTGGAATGTGCTCCAGTCAGTGTTTGGACAAACAAATGCCAAGTTCATTTGTTCTTTAAGTCTAATTGACATTTGAACGCAGATCTAAAGGATTCAGAACCAATTTCTTAACCTCAGCAGGCTGGCTTGGGTTGCACCATTTTTTAAACTGTTATTTTAAAGAACATGACACTTAACCCCTTCCAGTCTCTGATTCTTTCTATCAAGCCTCTTTCTCTTCCAGCTTGCTAAAAATGGTGAACAGCTTCCACCTGCACTTGCATTAATGTTCTGCCTACCTGGAGTTCAACAACACCATTGCTCCAACAGGAGCTACAACATCCTCAAAAATTTTGCCGGAGTTGCCCAAGGCCAGAGGTAAAAGGGCTATATAATAAGCCAAATATTCCCCCACCTTTCTTACTACCTGTTCTTGCTTCCCTTTTTTGTTTGTTTCCCCAAAAATTGTCCCAGGAAAATCCTAAAGTTTACGGGTGGTCAGACCATTCAGTAGTGGGACTTGGCACATACACGTGGGAAAAATCTACCCCCCAGCTTGAGATGGTGACTCATCATGCAGAACACACTCTGAGTTCAGGAGATGACTGAGTTTCCATGGAGATCTGCTCAGCCTGCAGTAGAGCCGATGTTTGTTCACCCATCCGCTTATCTTAGTGGCACAGCAAGTCTGGTTTGTTTGGAGCAGTTAAAAGTCAGTTTCTTTTGCTTTTAAGTAGTCACCAATGTTAATACTTATCTTTCATGCTTTCCTTGCAAAGTCTGACCTGAGACATTTCCTTTCAGGAATTGCTTTCAGGGCCCCCCCAGCATCATTAGTACATGATTAGTACTTCTTGGACTTTTTGAATTTCTTTCCTAGCGAATAAGAACCTGCTTCTTACCTCAGTACCATCGTAAAGGCCTGGCTGTCAATTTTAATTCTTCCCTTCTATGCACTAGTAGTTCTACTGATCAGGCCCCATTGTCCTGCACCTTCCAGATGGGAATTCTGTTCTTTCTAGTTCTACATGAATACATTCCACATTATCTGCCCATGGAGAACTGGGCTTGAGCTATGAAAATATTGTTAGTTTAACAGAAAATTATCTCTCTGTACTCACTTGGCTTGCGTGGCTTAGTTGATTGTATGGTCATTGTTGATGGATTTGGATTAGTGACAACGGTTGAGAGATAATTATCCCGTAGTGTAATGAACGGATGGAGCCCAGAAACCATTTAGTGATGGCAGCAGGTATCTAACCTTCCTGCCTCTGGACAAGGAAACAGTGTGAGCCCCGCGTACTAGTGACTTGGTGGCCATCCAACCATGCTCGGGTCCCTCTAGAACTGAAGACTGTTGAAATTCAGAATTATTTTAGATTACTACCAGACATAATCCTCTGGCTACAATGGGTATTTTGGCATCCTCTGAGTACGACTTGCCACAGGCTGTTGCTTTGGCATTACGAGATTCTGCCAGCGTGTTTGGGGCTGCCCTTCAAAGATCTGTCAGATCTTTTACTTTCTGTCTTCTTAGATGTGAAAATAAATTTAGTGATGGCAGTAGACTGTAAAAGTAGCCTGCCATGAGCAAGATACATCGGTAATGGTCATGCACCCAGCGCGGGGAGAAAAAATCTGTACCAAAATAGGTAATTGCTTTCATATTCTTAGCTGGAAAATATTTGATATGAAAATTAAGTGCGTAATTCAACCAATTTAAAACTACCACTACCTAAGAGACAGTCATGTTATGACAGCTTCAGAAAATGCAACTGTAATTTTAGCTTTAATGTGGATTCATGAGATTCATTAAATATGCAATAAAACTAAACTTGCACATAGTCAAGTTTCCCATAACCACTTATTACAAGGCAGTCACGCTTATTATTTAACGCTTGTACTGAGGTCCCAAATACACAGGTTAGCACTGCAACCTCTTCTGTGTATTAAAAACACCATGATAAAGCAAGCCTTCTATTTGAAAGCCAAAATTTGACATGGAAAATAGTAGGCAAAAAGAAAAATTGAGCAAGGGAATAAACAGAAAACTGGAGGGATAACATTATGGAAAGGAGTGAATAACACATATCACTAAATCTGTTTTTGAGAAGAAACATATTAAAATTTCATGCCCAAACCTGTCAAACTACTGACGAGCCTTTCTAAAGAACTGGGTTATTTTCTTATGCATCTAATCTTACTCATTTTGGCAGGTTTCATAAGACCAAATCATAACTTGATTTGCAGTTCAGCAGTTTTCCCCTGATGCAAACCATAATCAAACAATCAGCACTTAGATGGGAGTACTTCTGTTTCAGCTTACAGAGATTGAAAAAGCCACTTGCAAAGAGAGAGGCAAACACAAGCTGTGGGAATCTGCTGCCCCAGCTTACGTGTCCCCGAAGATGAAGTATCTAAGTCATTCCAATGGCTGTAAAAGAAGCCTCAAGAGATTGGCTCACACTTAAGGGACTATTATGGCAATAACTGACTGACTACCCCCTTCCTATGATATGATCTCCAGTTTTCCTATAAACCTAAAAATGCCTGTGTGACGGAGCACAAAACAATACATCCTGTTCTTCATTCTTGTACAGGTGACTCCAGCCATTTCACCACAGGTTACGCTACGAATCTTTCAGTAATGCTCTTTGTCAGTCCTTCTGGTACATTTTTCTAAGTGCTGTTGTAAAATGATTGGTCTTAGAATTCCCTGAATATCCTGTTCTTCATTTTTGTACAGGTGACTCCAGCCATTTCACCAAAGGTTACGCTACGAATCTTTCAGTGATGCTATTTGTCAGTCCTTCTGGTACATTTTTCTAAGTGCTGTTGTAAAATGATTGGTCTTAGAATTTTATAAAGTGAAAAAATAAGGATTAGAACAATTGGTAACATTAATTTTTAAGGTAACTGAGTAACCAGATGAATTCAAATTGAGATTTTTCTCAGTGTTTCATAAAAACGGTATGAAGTTTTCATAACACTGTTAGAGAAATGTATATGGAGATGTGATCTAACCTACTGATTGCTACTGTTTCTCTGATTCCAAAACAACCTCCCTCTGCTAAAAACTGGTATTTACTGCAAAGAAAAATAAACATATTGAAAATAAGCTCATTTAAATGCTCTGAGTTTTAATAAGGACATATGCCTTAGTGAGTTTCACACTTAATGGATTAAAAAAGCATCAAATTTATTTAACTATTCTGAAGCTTAGTTCATTGTATTATGAGTAATTAACAAGACCTCATTTCCTACAGATGCAAAAATAAGAAATGAAAGGTATTAAAATACTTGGGAGGTTGAAACCTGTTGGATAGAACATTTTTCTAATCAGGGTGAATCCTTATAAGCCTAATTACAGAACCTCTCATTACAATTTTAGCTTGGGTAAACTGATACTGCTTTGCTTTGTACTGCAAATGAAGTCCTAAACAGAATCACAAAAAATCTCTTCTACAAAGCATGGACATTGGACTGCTGTTCCCCAGGACTGGGATGAGAGTAAATTTTGGGATTCTGAGTCAGGAGACTTTGGTTTGGGTCTTATTTTGGCAATAATTTTCTGATCCGCTTACCTACATTTTGTTGCCACAACAGAAAGTTCAAGTTACTGCTATCTCCGTAACTTTCAAGGTGTTATAAAGCTGAATTAATCTTTGTCAAAGTCCCTGCTATGGATATATGGGTAACACCTGAGGAAAGGCAACATGATTTTATCTGCATTAACTAAAGAAATCTATTTTGGGATACCAAGACAACAAACGCCTACATGACATTATTATTCTTGAGTTTATGAACAACAGGGAAAATGTGGAGACAAACAGCACTTCAAACACTTTCCTTAAGTGATTTCAGCCTGCTGACAAACCAGGCCTTTGAGGAAAGATGATGTTACATCTAATCTTGCTATAATTTTTCATGCATTTAATCCAACTGCCAAGTACTGCTTGGTTGTTTAAGAGTTTATTACAAGTCTCCAAGCATCCAGACAGTACTTCAGCATTCTGATGCTAAAGGGTTTAGAATCTAATTTAAACTTTATTAGCTCACATAACCTGGTGAATGGGGAGTGCTTGGTAAATTTATACCATGCAACCTTTTTTCCAAAATAATCTCTCCATCAGTCTGATGGTATTGAGGATAATAGAAATGGTCTATAGTTGTAGAGTGCCTGGGGACAGCGGGGCCTAAATCATTGCAGAGACACTGCTGCTGAGTCTGCAGGGACTGCAAACAATTTTCTAGAGGTTTTCTTACAGAGGCCAAACAAACTAACAGATTAAACCTGTGAAGGAGGCGGGTGTACCCCCTGTTTTTAGAAAAGGGTTAAAAAGGTTTAAGTTCATACTTGTTAAAAGCTTCTGCTGAAATTATGCCTGTAAGTACCTCGTGCATTGCAGGACACAGCGGATTTGGGTATTAGTGGGGATGTATCAGCTGGTTAAGAAGCCTTGGGAAAACAACGCGGAAGAGTCAGCACATTTCTACGCCCGTTGTAACCATGGTGCTGCTCTGCCTAGGGCAGAGGAGATGGGGCTGGGGCTCCTGACTCTGTCCTGTGCTGCTCAAAATGAGGTAATCTCTGTTTGTGGCATTTTGCTCTTCTCAATGTTTTCCCGGGGCACAGGAAAGGCAGAGTGTTTTGGTCAGAAAGTCTAAACTAACTTCTGCCAAACACATTGTATCCCATTGCTGTCAGCAACGCAATTCAACAGCTTCGTATTTTAGTACTTTCAAAGGTCAAAAAAAAGATCATTTTACCTCCTATTCTTTCATTATTGTTTATGTATTTTCAAATGAGTGCAACACTGTGAAGAAAAATCAGCATATTGCCAAATGTGAATAGCTTGTATTTCAGTGGAAACTTAGTCTGGGAGTTTGACATTCAGATTTTCCACTGACATCATGAAAACAAGCTGACCAGACTGAATATAATTTTTCACTAAGTATTTCTTGCACGAATTCTAAATTTCCCCCTTCTTAGGTTTTTTTCAAATTACTATAATTTAGCTTCGCTACCATGACTACAAAAATTCAGACTTCTGTAAGTGCAAAGGCCTTTTGTCTTTTCTGTTTTCCGCTTCTCAGGCTGAGGAAACAAATACGGGTTTCTTCTTACTGAAAGAAAGGAAAAGAACAGAAAAGTGCCTATTGCCTACCAGGGAGCCCCATCAACTAAGCTTCATAAGGGCATTTAAATCCATTCTCCCCAGACAGATTTCAATTAGGATAATTGCTACCCACTTAAAACTCCCTTCACGGTAGCCCATGTCTAAGTGGTATTTGGTGCTATAACCCAAAGAAAAGGTTTGTATAATGGTTATGTGCCTCATAAAGATCAGGGTTCAGAATAAACTGGCCACACAGAGGGGCCTCTTCTCCATCCCCAGGCAGGTCCCTGTGGGTCCATAGTGTTCTGATCCAGGCTGACCCAGTGAACACACTGCAGGAATAAAGCCAGAGTCTGTGGGGTGGGAAGAGAATTCTTCAGGGATCAGAAATGCACTTTTCCAGACCTTAAGCAAAGACAGTTTTTTGGGAATACGATCCTTTCAGGTACCCCCTAGGCAGCGTTTGTTTCTGATAGTCCTTATTCCCACTCCAGAACTCTAGATACATTTGTACTATTTGTACAAGTGTTTGAGGCCAGTGGTTGGCATTGCTCAGCTGAGTTGTACAAGCCCCACCTGGGAGGCACTGGGCTGCTAAGAGCAGAAAGTGCTCTGCCCTGTCAACACACTGGGAGCTGGCCTGTAAAAACTTTTCTCAGCTGAGGGGTAAAACAAGCTCCTTATTGAATTATTTTTGCCCTGAATGGAGGCAGGGAGAAAGGGCTGGAAGAGGAAAGACCAAAATGGCTAGCTGTGCTCAGCATAATCACCTGTGACAGCCTTATTTCACATTCTCTCTGTATCACAAAGATCAAGGGCTGAATCCTCAGTGTCCCAAATCCCCCCTGGGTGCTCCTGCCCTGCTTCCAAGGCTACCAGCTAATCTAGTGTCAATCTGTCTCTCTCCCAGCACAGTTTTCTGCTCTCCACAAGCTGCTCCTCGGGCCAGGGGAGAGCACAACTGAAACTTGGTAGTGAGGACACCCACTGTGGGACGTGAGCGAGCAGGGAGGAAACCACTGAAATGACGGCTCATTTCTCTGGAAACAACATCTCTAAGGCTGGAGGAGGTGGGATCCACCACAGCACAGAGGGTAACCAAAGCACTGGGTGGGCAGAGGCAGCCTGAGACAGAGCAGGGCATGAGACTGTGGGCTCAAATGCCGAGTGCACCCCCGGAGCAGTGGCTGGGGCTGGGTGGGCAGAGAGTGTCTCTTACTTTAGCTAGAAATTGCTTTCTGAGAAATCTCTCCTGAGAGAGTTTTAGCAAAACCGGTACGGATGGCCTCGCACATTAAGATCTGGTTTCAATGCCTGCTGCCAAAATGATGTTTTTTCAGAAAATTCCCAGTCAGTTCTAATTCCACTGATCCTAAAGGAATGCTGAAAGACAACAGTGTGGGACTGGCAGAGACAAACCTGATACCAGCTGCAGGCTGCTAAGAAATATTGCTAAACTTGAGTGACAAGTAATTGTTTGCAGTGTTAATGTGGTTAAACTCTTTTTCCACTAATGCAAACTAAAGCTGTAAATCAGGAAATTTTTCTTTTGCCTGTAAATACTGCAATACTGTGCAAATGCACGAGATTCTGGACCTGAGGGCTTTGTTAGAGGAGCCCATGGCTGAACAAGCAGAAAAAAGTAAGCTAAAGTACAGAGATAAAGTAAAGGCTGCTTATGGAGATTATCGGTATGGCATGTGGTTGACAGTCTCGGTAAATACGAGTTTGTTTTTAAAGGACAGAAGGTAAAGAATGTCCATAAAGGGCACTAAATAGATACTCTATAAGCAGGAACAGGGCTAGCAAGCAAAAGTCCGAGCTTTTTGTCAGTTCTTCACAGCCGTTTTGCTGTAGCAGGACTCCCTCTTGAGAATGAAACCCCCATAAAATACAGCTGCAGCAACACATTTATAAAAGCAGCTATTGAGTCAAATATGACTGAACTGAAACTTGCATTCAGCTCTTTCTTCAATACAAATGAGTACCAAATTCCAGCATACTTATAGCCATAAATTACATTTTCAATTTAATCGGGGTTATCTCATCTCACGTCTTTCAGCTGTCAAGGTTTACAATACAGCACAAATGCATTACACACAAATATGTCCTACTCTTTCTCTGTGAAAGCTGTTGCTGCCCACGGACTGGCTTCCTGACAATGAGGACCAGTCAGAATGAGGAAAACACCACTTCTTTCACATTCACCACTGTTTAAAATAGAGACATTATCTAAGATAACAAATCATGTCAAGTCTGAGAAATAAGAAAATATAAATATGTACCTTTCTCAGTACAGCTGAAGCTGTTGCCTCCGATCTTTTCCTGTGCTGCTCTGATGTGGATTTTATAGAATAAGAGTCCAAGAGCCTGCAGTATTCAGTCACATTCGATCACATCACAGGAATAGCTTATCAGTTCTGTTACAGGGACTCTAAAAGGAGCAGCGTCCTTTTCCCCAACTCCTCCTTTCACAGATTTCTGTGCTCCTTAAAGGTGCTCAGAGCTCTAATAACCTCAGAGAAAGCTATTCATCTGTCCCCTAATTACAGTGTTCTTGTTACTTAGTTACAGCACAGTGAATGCTGACAAAGTCAGGTATGAGCCAAATCTGCGCTCAGTGTAAATGCTCTCTGTTCAATCAAGCAACTCCAGGAATGAATTTGGCCCAAGGGATTTAGTTCTTTTTTCAGCGCAGACGTGGCATGCCACAGCCAGCTCAAAAGTCGTAGAAACAAGACCTAGGCGTGTGGGTTAAATATAGAGTGCTGCTGGAGGGAGGGGAAGTATGTATAGCAAATTGCTTAACAGCAACCACAGGAGGTGCAATCAATAAATTATAAATAGTACACTTGAATTTCTGTAGCTTCTAGCTGGAAGAGTACTCTGCTACAAACAGCTCTAAGGTAAACGAAGAGGTTTATTCTAATAAACGTTGTTCTTGGCTTGACTGTCTATACGGTTTCCTTTGAGGTGGAAACAATACAATCAAGCTGCAATTAAATTGCCCCATAAAAGAAAATAATAAGAAAAACCAAACACAACTTGGTAGTAGTTCTCAGCTGTATTCTCACTACAAAACTCAGATCTAGTCAGTGAGGGTTTGAAGCTCTAGCCTAGAAACTTTTTAAAGATTCAAAGAAAGGGTTTGTATTAAATGTGGCAGAAACAGGAGCTGAAGAACTGAAAATGGGCTTTGTCACATGAGGGGGGAGGTCCTTGAAAGAATTTGGGACTACCTGAGAGTATGACAAGAGAGAAATAAAAAATTTTAACTGGATGAATTGAATAAAGAATTGTGGGAAAAGGGGTAGGTGAAGATCAAAGTGGTTTTAGTAACTCTAGACAAAACATAAGACCCTGCAATATAGCACAGTACCCAAGGTCAATACAGAATAACTTTGAAGTATCCCCTTCCACTTATAAGAGAGCTTTAGCTCAACAAATATTTTCTTGTAATCCAGACATCATGCAGAACAAAGAATGAAATAAGCTATACTGCACTCCAGCTCTACTGACAGTATTTCCTGCCTGGTCGAAAACTGGTTGTGAAACCATGACAGGTTGTGTCCACACGATCCCTGACACCACCCACAGCTAAAATCAACTGAGAATTTCTTTTACAGCTGGGCTGTGGAGAAAAGAGCTTAAAACAGTAGAACTTATCTGCGCACTGACCTGGTTCTGTAAGCACACAGCTATTCTTTGGGGACGTCCCTGCAGTTAACTACAGCTAGTGGGGAGCTGGTGGGTGGTATCAGCCCAGCTTCTGCTCAGCAGCATAAATTACTGCCAAGACTTACCAGATTGAGCCGTGTCCCATGACAACACTTTTCTAAAGGACGTCTAACTTTGAGCTGAATCATATTCTTCAGGCTAGAAGCATGGGAGGAGCAAACTTGCTTCTGCCTGCCCACAACTGTTTACTTGTGTGATAAAGGTTATGCCTGCACAGTAACCCTTTCTGTTGTCTGGATACTTCCTTACAGAAGTAAAGATGCTGAATGCCACTAACCGCAAATTAGATAAAGCCAGAGGTTCAGATAGTTAAACCACTCAAACTGGCTGATAATGTCCATCAGTTGCTTCCAAGTTAATAGAAATCTGAAATCTTGTAATAGGTTATTACAAGGTAATTTTTTCTCCAAGACAAGTTTCTTCAGTTGGCTGTTAGACATTGGCTTATGCCTTTCTCTCATTTACCTTTTTGCCCGAGCCAGGGCCTATATAGGTATGGATATTTTGGTAAGTTTTTACTGACATCATAACAATGCTACAAACTGCAGAGTTTGTATGTACGCTATTCACGTGACTTATCCTTGTTTACGTAGTAAAAATTTACCCTGATATTAATACATCTAGGTTAGAGAACTGTGGAGAGCTATCAAAGCTTTGGAGTAATGCCATTTTTACACTGGGACAAGATCTGAAAAGCTGGATTTTGTACTGCAAAACGCTGGGATGCTGCATCCACGGGGCACATCCATGGGAAGATGCAGGCTCAGGATGAGCAACGTCACGTGAACGGCAAGAGGTGAGAACAACTGGCTGGTTCAGCCCGACTGGCTCTGGGGGTTGGCAGAGCTGAGCACAGATCTGTCCCCACAAACCTGAGCAGACTTGCTCCTGTCCCGAGCTCCCCAGCTCTCACGGAGGCTCCCCAGCTGCAAGTGCATGACACAACGTGGCAGCGCCGTCCCCACTTGCTGTGCATAGCGTGGGGCTAAAGCCTTCCCAGTAAATCCACGCCTGGCATAACAACAAATGACATTCCCTTCATCTAATAATCCTGCCCAAAGACTGGCTTGTAAAAGCCTAGACAAAGGGAGACAGGAGAGCTAGCACATTACCATAAATCCCACAGATCATGTGAAACGCCCAGTGGAAGAAAATTCTTTTGAGTTTGCATTTTCAGGATAGCAGGAGGGATTTTCTTTTATGTGAATTTGCTGTTTTCAACAGTCAAATTAGTTCTTCTTGCTGAGAAACGTGTAAAAAAGGAATTTTGAGAAAGGAAGCACCACTCGTGTATGAATCAGGAAACTGCCTGGAGATATCTAAAACAGGAAACAGCTAAAAGAGAAGAAAGATGGCCAGCAAAGTTGTAAAAATCTAAAATTTAGCAGATTATCCAAGCAGTTAGATTATTTTGTGTTTACTACGCATCTTAAAAAGTTATTGTGTAGACTGAAAAAACTTCCTGCTTTTGAAGACTTTATAACTCCTCATGAAAACTTTGAAACTCAGTTAAGTCTACCATATTTCTCCCTCTCCTTTTTAGTAATATATGTTGAAGCATTTGAATGAAGTCAAGAATTTGTGGTACTTGAAGCATCACCTGTTTCCGCTGAGCACCACATCCATCTCATAAATCTGAGCACCACATCCATTTCATAAAGCAAAATTAGTCATTTCTTATCAGTTTGGCATTTAACTCTCCTAAAGATTGATTTATCAAAGCTCTTAAAAGCAGATATCAAAAATGCAGAAAAATACAGCAGAGTTTGATTGTAAGCAAACAGCCACAGATTCCTTCATGCCAATGTAAAGCAATACCCAACAAAAAGCAGTATCGGAAAATTCTTGCTACACAAGTCAGTTAAGAAGCCTGAAATATAACTGGTTAAAATGTATCTGTTGTTTACCCTGGATCTGTGTCTTTGAACAAGGGTCCTCACTTGTGAGCATAATCCCCACATTAGAATACTATCTATGGATTTAGCAATTTGAATCGTGAGAAGGCTTCACCTTGCTTTGAAAAAAGTCTAAGGGTTGGTAACCACACCTCCCCTGCTACCACTTATTCTGTCTTTCTGCAGCTCTGGGATACAGTTCTCTCAATTGCCACGTTTGTATTCACCATTTGACATGCCTTTCTTCCATATGCTTTTTCTTTCCCTCCTCCTTCCCCCATAACGCTAAGGACACCGCACTACGCACCAGTGACAAAACCAAGAGAGTACAATCAATCACAAGACAGACGGAAAGAAACCCAAAAAAGTCCTACCTCATGCAGAGACCTCGTAGTTCAGCCAGTGATCCTGTACAGTTCACTGACACTCCTGTAAATTATTAATTAGGTCATGCCACAAAATGCAACCACTGCTACAATCCATTTTCTACCCCACCCACCAAAAAAGAAACGTGATGACTTCCAAAGATGGTATTTGCCCGAGAGCCCTCCTTTCCCCACCCTCCAGGTTGCTAAACTGGGAGCATAAGACATAGAGTAAACCATGCCAGAAAAACAGGAAAGACATGAAGATGTGTCTGAAAAGCCCAAATTTCTAAAATGTTAGGTAGAAAAGGTGTTTGGTCCTAGATGTTTTCATGAGGAATAATTTAAGTAAGCCATTGATAAATGTAACAAAAGGTGTTTCGTATGAAGGAAAGAAGAGAATTCCAAGCTGTCCTTACAATAAACTCAAAAGTAGAAAGTCTGCCCGTTAACAGGACCAATTAATGCCTCACAAAACCCCTATTTTGTTGAATGGATTTATATACATTTCTGAAATGTATTACAGTAGTGTTTCCTTTGCCCTTTTAATACCACACTGTTTACAGTACATTGAATAGACATCTCCCCCTGGAAATAAACCAAACCACATCTAATGTATTAAGTTAATTTATGACTAGTAAATATGACTAGCTACAACTGTCAAAATCCTGTGGAAATTTGATGTTAAATTTGATAGCTATGTTGTAAGAAGTTTTTTTTTAATCCCAAGTTTTGAAAAAATATGCTTTCACTGCAGAAACGGAATGCTTTACGTAAATGCTTCCTGATACTAGAATGTATTTGCCATGAAAGGACCTGATGCTTCCTTCTTAAAAGATAAATATTACACATATGTAGAAAAAATGTGTACCACTAATTATTTTGATCAGCTTAACGCTAACCACAAAAGAATTAGAATAAGAAAGTTATACGAGATGAGGCAAAGCCAAATTAGGAACCACACCTGATAACCAGAGTGTGTCTCTGGTCCCTGAGGAGGATTTTTGCAGTGTAGCAGACACCTCCTCAGTGCTGACTACAGCAAACTGCAGTGGCTACTGCTCCTGTTGCTGTTGTGATCACAGGCAAACCCTGCTCCTCACTGCTGATATTTGCCTCTATCGGTCTCAATGATCATGCTTGTAAGAATGTGCAAGAGGCAGCAGAGTGGTGTTACACAGGCTTTGTTCTTTCCTGTGAAGATGGGAAAGCCCTAGCCCATGGCACTGCACAGGGCTTTGTCACTAGCCATGAGATACAGCCCGAGGAATGGTGACACCCCAGCTTCCCACAGTCTGCCAGAGGCCCAGCGGTGGCTATAGATAGTCCTGGCTCCCAGGTGACTTCAGGAGGATGCCAAGGGAAAGCAACTGACTCACTTCCAAGCTAGAAAAGGGAGGGTGTGTGTTGTGTTTAGGAACGCAATCATCTAAAAGAAGCTCCCATCTCACCACTGCTGCGTAGGCTGTGGTTCACTGAGCCTCTGAGCTCTAAAATAACGAAAGCAATCAGTAATGCCAGTGTACAATGTGGCTGTTACAATGGGCACTTGGCCAAGATTCTATCATTAAAAGAGTTTAGAAGCATTACTCCAAAGTTATCATTAATTCTTTCCTAAATTGCCACCGTGGGTGCTGTTTAAAGGTAATGTTTTCTATCCAGAGCTTTGCTACACATAAGGCCTTTCGTTATTAGCAAAATGCCATAATGCTGCAGGGACATTTCTTCACAGAAACTTGTTGGGTGTTTGGGGAGATTTAACTCTGCCCTTGATCCTACGCGTCTGAACTAAATGCTGTGAGAAGAGCATATGCTCAACACTGCCTGGTTCAATTCAGGATAGTGGCTAAAATGAACAGCTACAACAACTTTGCACGCATCTACCTGAAAAGCATAGATTAGTATCTGAATATGCTTGAGGCCTCTCAGTATGCTCTGGTTATGCCCTTCTACTGCTGCTGCAGTGGGTAAAAGTGTTTCTAGTGATTTATTGATTCGTGCTGCAGGAGGCAACAGAGAAGGGGGTTGCTTTAACAGCATCAATACTGGACAAGTCACCAATCCATTTACTGAAGTGATAGTAATTCCTGTTTCGTATATTTTCAAGCATTAATGGAGAGAAAAAAAAATAATCATAACACCACCCTGGAGGTGGTGTTAGTTCTGCAAAACTTTTGAGTATTTTAATTTCCTGCCATTTCTCCTCAAGTGTGGACCAGGCGACTGATGGTTTCTGAAACAAACCGGTTGGATGCTGCCCCCTGGAGCCAGGCCCTTGCTGCGGAGACAGCTGAACCGTGACTCCCTGTCTCTGTCACCAGCTCCCCTCCTCGAGAAAAAGCGGCCGATTTTTTGTCCCAGGCTCTGGTTTGGCTATGGCAGTATTTATCACACAACTCCCTATGTACAGCAGCAGGCACGGTCACCACTGTGCCTCAGTAAAGGCCAACAGCCAGCACTTCTGGATGAGAAAGACCTTGTTCCCTGCAGTATCGTTTTGATCAATGCCAACTTTGAGGCCTTTTCACCTCAGGCTGCCAGAATACATTACAAGCATTAATAACTCCCACAGCTCCTGCCCAGAGCAGGTCAGCAGCGTGGCTTTAATCAACAGCCAGCATGTGGCACGGGGACAGGAGATGCTGTTGCAGGTAGTGGAGCATCGGAGGTGCTCCGGCGGGTTCTCCTGGGCCGTTACCGCCACAGCTGAACCCCGTGTCCCTGCTGTTTTTGCTGTGCTGTGTCACTGACCTGTGGAGCGTTGGGCCCTGCCCCGCCATCTTGGCTGAAGATCCCTCTCCTCTCGGCCTCGAGGCCCTGGCGCCTGCCCTCACCGCTGAGCGCGCCTCAGGAATCCGAACCACCACCACCACCACCACCACCACGCCTTGTCTGCAAGAGCTCGTGGAAGGGAAAGGCTTTACTCAAAGCACCTTCGCAGAGGATTTTAACTTTTCAGCCTGTGCGCTGCACCTGCGGGAGGGGCTGCCACAGCTCCCACCTCTCCCTTACAAAGGGATGTGAGGGGAAATAAGGGGGCTCTGAACATCCGTGAAGGTTCTGGGCACTCGTGTTTCTCTTCTTACCCAAAAGGCCTTCCCTGAACCCCTCTCGCAGCAGCATCTCGCAGGGGAGACAAACCAGTCAAGCAAAGCGGGTTTTTTTTCCACCTTCCAAACATCCGATTTTAACGCAAACGCTCTTCTCTAACGCCGGAGCCTGTGCCCGTCTTCTGAAAAGGCCCCTGAGGAATCCGCAGCGGCTCCAAAGCGGCGGCCGCCTCCCCTCAGCTCTGCGCCCCCGCCGCCCCTCGCCCTCACGGGGCTCCGCCGCCCTCACCCACCCGGTGTCGCCGCCCTCCACTCAGGCGCTGCGCGGGCACCTCGCAGGGGTCCTGGCTGGGCGCGGAGGCCCCCTGCCGTACAGCATGGCGGCGCTGTGGCGGAGGCGGGAGCGTCTCCTGGGAGCGGCGGGGCTGTGCCGTACGGTGCGAGCCCTCTCAGGTACGGGGCGCCCGCTGGGATCGGGGCCGGCAGAGGCCGCGCCTCCGCCTTTCCCCGCGGGAGGCGGCCGCCGTCTCCTCCTGACGCCCAAACCGCCTGGGGAGGGTCCCCCGAGCCCTTCCCACCGCACGCCCGGCGGGGAGAGACGGGCGGGCGCCTTCCTTGAGCGGCCGCTGTGGAGCCCGGAGCCCGCTGCCCGCCCCGCAGGCGCCAATCGCCTCCCGCAGCGGCGGAGGCGGGGAGGGCGGCGGGCTGCCTCCATCCATCCCTACCGGCGGCCGGAGCCACCCCCGAGCTCTCTCGCCGCCCGTCCCTCGCCCCCGTGTTGCTGAGGGAGCCCCGGGCCGCAGGTGGCGGTGAAGTGGGCAGGGCCTTCCCCGTCCCTGCCGTGGGGCTCCGGAGAGACCAGGCCGTGCCTCCGGGCTTAACGGCAAGGACCGGGGGGGGATCAGCCTTCCCGGTCCCGCTGCCCAGAGGAGTCCCCAACCCCATGGTGACACAGCTGGTGTCGGGTGCTGCGGCCTCGGCTGCCCGCCCTGAGCCAGAGAAGCAGGGCTTGGCCTGATGCACCTCCTAAGAAAGGAGTTACCGCTCACCTGGGGGCTTCTCCTGCCGCCTCAGAGCTGCTGGGGAGGCTGGGCTGGCAGAAGGGGCAGCTTCCCTCAGTGCCCCACCTCACCCTGCCAGGCCTATGTGGCGGCTGAGGCCAGGCCGATAAGGTGACCCTGCTGTAAAAAATCTGTGCAGAACTTGCTGTTGTAAGGCAGAGGCAGGAGCCGTGTGCTGGAGCCCAGTTTCAGCTGCCTCATCATGCGGAAAGAGCTTCTTGGGACATTGTGTAAAAATCCGATCTAATTCCTCACATCCTCTGGATTGCTTTATTTTCTGTGTTCCGTTCACAAGTCTAGTTTGATGATTTTTGGAGAATACTTCAGGACACTGAAAAAACACACTGCTCTAATAAAGTAAAGAAAACCCAAATCAGCAATAATCAATTGTAAAAAAAATAGTGTACTTTTTGCTATTTCCTTCTTACATACCTCTTCCATCTTTCTTGCCTGTTTCTTTTCCTTCTTCTTTCACGGCCTCTTCACAGGAAAGAACGAGTATGATCTTCTGGTGATTGGTGGAGGGTCTGGAGGCCTTGCTTGTGCAAAAGAAGGTTGGTATGTATAAATCACTGACAAAAGTTTTAGTTTAGCTTAAGTGGTGTTTATGGAAACTGACCAAAGTGTTACTGATAATACTAAAGCTTTGTAAGAAATATAGTACACTTTAGTCCCTGCACATAAATCATTAACTTGGCTCCATACAGTATCTGCAAATTAGTTCACACCCTCAGGTGGAGTGATCTTGTTTGGCTTTCCTATTCACCTTTTAAAAAATATTTCTTCTTTTGTCAGGGGAAAATTTAATAAGCTTTTATTTCACTGTTATTGTAAAATACTCTGAGTGTCTTCATATGTACTGTATTTTTTAAATTATACTGTTTATTTATGTGTTAAAACAACAGTCCCTTCAGACTGTTTCCCAGACTGTGTAACTGCTACAGAGAACATTGCCCCTTTGCACCTCAATATAATGTGCTCAACAACCCACAAGCCTCTAAAACATCTCATTTTGGGTCAAACTGCATTTTTAGGGTCGGTGGAAGCTGGAGACTCTTGTCTGGGTTATTAAGTGCCTTCTGGAGAATCTGCTGACTGCAAAGGCAGCCTGGGTCCCTAGACTGGCCTCTGGAGTTAGACAGTAAAAACCACCAGCTGTCAGCTCCTGAACTCTTTGTCTATACCCGTGCTACTAAAAATGCTTAGGTGTGTGTGTTTCTCCCTCCTCTAAATACTTTATCTTGCTTTTTGTTTAAAGCTGCTCAGTTTGGGAGGAAAGTGGCTGTTCTGGATTATGTGGATCCCTCTCCACAAGGTATGGAAGAGAAATATTAGGCTAATATTTGGACATGTGTATGAAACGGTTGCCCAGGAGAGCAGATTGCTCCAGGCAGCAAAGTGGCCAAAGCCCCACTGCCTCCTTTGCTCGTAGTAGAAGTCCATAAACCCAGGTTGCCGTATTCCCCCTGTGATGTCCCAGCTCTCCCCGGTCCCCCCTGCACACAAAGGTTGTTAGCAGTGTTTGATGCTGCTGTTTCTCATAGACTTTGGACTTAAATATGTGAGAATATTGTCTCTGTCAAAATATCATTTACAATTTCTAAAAATTACGAATCGCATCATGCTGTACATGTACATCTTCATGTACAATATGTAAAATAAGATTTGCAAGTGCAAATAAATGTGAACGTGAAGTAACTGGATAGTCACAGCTTGGAGAAACATCTTGAGATGATTTGAATTTTAGAAAGAAAGTATATAGAGATGTTTTTTATCAAAATGAGCTAAGCAGAGTTAGAAACTGATCTGTAGGAAATAGTGAACGGTGTGTTGTTTCAAAAGTTTTTAACTAATTGCATGAACAACCTAATTCTCTAAGTAACCCAGTTGCATTGTTACACTAATCTGATACATTTACTTTTTTTTTTCTTACTTTTTTTTTTTTTTTTTTCCAAAGAACACCAGGGGGGGGTTGGGGGCGAGTTTGAACTGGGAGAGGCTAAGAGTTCTAATTTGGGTGGCAAAGCTGATAACTTTGAATATCTCATGCTACCAGGATAAGCCACTGCAATGCTAATTATAGGATTAAAAACTAGACATTATAAACCTAGGGAGATAGTGCTCTCTCTCTTTTTTTCTTTTTTTTTTTTTTTTTCCCAAGGAACCACATGGGGAGTTGGTGGAACGTGTGTGAATGTTGGCTGCATTCCTAAAAAGCTTATGCATCAAGCAGCCCTTTTAGGGAGTGCCCTTAAAGATGCCCAACGCTATGGCTGGAATATATCCCAACCTGTTCATCATACCTGGTAAAGATCATTGCCCGTGTCCCCTCCTGTGTGCTGCAAACGTGTGACAGCCTTTCCCAGTTGATGCTTACTTAGGGACAGTTACAGAAGTGAATTTTGCACGAAGCTTTTCAGACTGCTCCTTGTTTAGAACACAGAACTGTATTTACTGGTTTATCAGAGCAGATATTACGTTGATTTGAACTTGATAATTTATTTTTATTTTAAAAAAAGTACTGTAGAACATTCCTAATTTTTAGCAATTGCGTGTATCTTTGAGTTGCATAATCTGAATTTGTAGTGTGATGGCTTCATGCTCAGGTTCTTGTTTTGTGATAGGTCTGTGATGGCCCAGGCTGTTCAGAATTATGTGAAATCCTTGAACTGGGGTCACAGAGTGCAACTACAAGACAAGTAAGTGAGACTTTGAAGTTCATCTTTCTTCCCATAGTCCAGGAGCTGCTCTTCTTGTAGAATTGCTGAACTGCCTTTGGAATTTCTCATTAGAGCTAGTATTTTCAATTTCTAAGTCCTTTCTGCTCAGGACTGTAAGTGCCCTCGCTAAGGTCAGTGATTTGGGTTGTTTTCTCCTCCTTCCTTTTCTTTTCTGGGAAATAGTGGTTGAAAGTGACCACACATGAAAGCTTTCAAACAATGTAGTGACCAGGGAATGCTTTCTTTAATCTGGAAAGGTTTTGTATTAATATGAAGTAGCTAGGGTTTCTAGTCCAACAAAAATTTAGATGCCCTACAAGCCCACAGATAACACTATACTAGAGCAGCTGATTTTTTTGCTTATAGTGCAGAAATCATTCCAAATTTTTCCGCATGCGGTTCATTTTATAGAGAAACTATATTAATAGATAATTTGACAGGTACTAGTCTTCTGACTCCTGCTGAGTCGTTTTTGTATGCTCTCAAATGAGCACTGTATTAGCATTACTATTACAGTCTGTACCATTACTCTGACCAGTGGAAAATGTATTATTTGAGGAGGTCAATAGCCTGATCCCAGAGCCTGTTACAAGGTCAGGTACTCTGCTGTACAGAGGAGTTAACTCTGACACGAGAATTAAGTGACTTAAATTATGTGACCGAGCTGCAAACAATCCTATGAAATGAGATGCTGTCTTGCTTTTACTGTTCTATGCCTGCTTGCTGTCCTTTTTAGCACTTCAGACATGGAAAAAGTAGCTGATTGTATTTCTTCCCTATTCTTCACTAAGTGTGTGTTTATGTTGCTGTTTTCTTCTAAACAGGAAGGTGAAATATTTCAACATGAAAGGGAGCTTTTCTGATCCACACACCATCCGTGGTTTAACAAAAGCAGGTAAAGAGGTGAGCTGCTCTGCTGACTTCTGCAGTGTCATTCACTTCAAACATTCCAGGTCTTCATGTGTTTGTTTTCAGGTCAACTGTGAGCTAGACTGTAATTTTGCAACTTGCTTTAGTTATTCAGTATTGGTGAGGGATATTTGCATTTTTCCACCTAGAGAAGGTGTTTGTGAACTTGACTGTTGCCTACTGAGTCCCTCGCCTCTCACCTGGCAGTTAGATGCCATTTATCTTTTCTCTGCTGATGGAAATGCTGAGACAAAAAAATTAATTTTTTTTTGTGTGTCAGAGTCATATTGCTTTGATAAATGCTTACAGATCTTACTTACTTACTAAAGAGGACCACAATCTCCTTATTGCTCCGAGAATTAGATCAGTCTGAGATGTTTTCCTCCTTCAAATGAATCCTGAAGGTGATTAGCTTTCTAATACAGATTGTGTGTAGGGGGCAATTACACTGAATTCACAGCTTTAAGCAGTTGGGGCACGTAACAGAATGGTGGCCATTTCTGTGTATTTAGGAAGAGACTGAACATGCATTTTTAACACCTTTTTGAGGGTAATTATAATTGCTTTTTTACCCTTCTTGAGGGTAAGTGTAATTACTGGTAAATGTCAGCTTGAGAGAGCAAAAGTTTTTGGGGGTAGGTGCCTAGCACTTTCTAAAAACATGCCACTTTCCAGGTAGCTTAACTCCAGACCCTAGAGACAGAATTCTCTTGCTGTGATCTCTGGGTGTTTTGTCCTAAGCAAAAATTGATTTTAAAAAGCTGCCATTTGTGAACAGCTGTTGCTTCCAAGTAGTCATCAGAACCTTGTCCAATATCGGAACAGTTGTAAGCTTAATATTAAAACAAAAATGGATAGAGAATGTGTGGGAGAAAGTCCTGCATGTAATGCTTGACTGTGATTTTGTATTTTTGTTTGTAGACTATTGTTACTGCAGAAAATATTGTCATTGCTACTGGAGGAAGACCAAAATATCCTACACACGTAAGTTACACTGGCCATCTAACAACTTTTCTGGTTTTGTGGCAGATAATGATGGATGTTAGGAGGATAAAAATGTAACACAAGAAATAAAGTAACACAAGAGAGGTGTTTGTACTTTTGTCATGTGAAAAATTATCTTTGATATGAAGTACAAGCATTTCAGAAAAAACGTTTCCATAGGAAACAAATGTCATCAATTCATGAAGTTGGTGTTGCTTGGAGCTGTGGGATAACTCCCATTGGAAGGGATCTCTAGAGGTGGTGTGGTTCAGCCTCCTGCTGGAGGAGGGGGTGGTCAGCTGGGAGTCAGCTGGGAGCTCAGAGCATGTTGCTCGGGGCTTTTTTGCAGCCAGGTTTTTAAAATCTTGAAGGAGGAAGAATGGACGACATACCTGGGCAACCCCAGAGACATAATTCCCTTGACTTACTGGCTGTACTTCAGCTAACGAAGCCTAAGTTGCAATTAGGGGTTTTTTTGCTGCCAGGACTTGGATTGTAGGTTCGAGATCTCAACCTGTGTGATAACAGATTGCAGGTGCACTGGAGTATGGAATCACAAGTGATGATCTGTTCTGGTTAAAAGAATCTCCTGGAAAAACGTAAGTTACCTTACTGTGGCTTTAATAGATGCTGGCATTTGTACTTTTCTTTATGGCAAGGTGAAAAACATTCAAAATTGTCTTTCATACACCAGTTTCTATGTCCTTCTGTTTTTCTTCTGAGAATTTGTTTTGCTATGCATCAACATCACACTACCAACCTTCATTAGCAACTAATTAATTTCTTCCCCTCTCTTTTATGAAATTCCCTTCTAAAATCAAATTGAATGTGAATTTTCACCATCTTAGGTGAAGGAGACTTGGTTGCTGGAGCCATTACAGACGGCTGTCACAAGAGGGCAGCATACACTTACACGAAGGCTGCGTTTGCTGGGGGTGGAGGTGAAATTGCTCTTCAATTAGGAAAGAAACTCCAACATAATTTCATGTTCTCTTAAGTGGTGACAGTTCTGATAACAAAATATGATGAGACACTTGGGTCACTTTTGCATTTTCTTATTCTTTGGGAGCTATTTTTTAACTGAAATACAAAAAAATGTTTTTAATGGGAATAGTAAAATGCCATTGTCTTTGTTACAGCACTGTAAGATTCTGAGTCCACATTGCTCTACAGAGCAATTGGATGCAAAGAACTCTGATAGAAAATGCACATTTGCTAGTATGAAAGTCATATAATACTATTTTTTTGTCTTTTTGCGTTTGAGCAATTCTAGAAGCAGCAAAGTGTATATATAAGAAAAAGAGACTTGAAACTATAGTCCTGGTGTTTGAAAGAAGACAGAGCTGCCATTCGTAGCTGTGACTTTCTAATATAAAAAATGCAGTGTGTTTAGCTAAGCATCAAACACATAAACAAGGCTCCTTGGTACAGTTTAAAAAGGAAAGTAAATTTGCTGTTGTTTGCAATACATCAGTCACCTCTTGAATTTTGAGGTGTATGATTTATGGAAGGAAGTTTTTTTTTTAAAAAAAAAAAAGCCAAAAAGAAATAAAACCCAACAACACCAACCCATCAAAAAACCTAAACATAAGATTTTTCCCTGTATGATGTTTCTCTGAAAATGTGGCTTTTGTCCAGTTGCTGCTAATGCAAGTTGTAACAGTGTAATGTGGGAGTCTAGTGTTTATATGTTGCATTCCTGAGATTTAGTCAAAATAAGCCTGCAGGGGCTACAGTAGCATTTCTGTGCTTTATCAGGCTGTGTCCTAGCAAATGAAGGAGGGAGTTGTTAAAGGTTTGTTTCTGTTGGGTTTGTTTCTATTATAAATATTCCCAAGGTTCAGTTTAACACCTTTTGTTTTTAGTCTGAGCTGTGTTGTACTTACTCTTTCTTTTCTCCCTCTCCAAGTGTACATATCTCAGCTACAAATTACATGCCTGGGGGTTATAGAACTGTCAGTCCTGCAGTTATTCATATTTTTTAAAAAAAGAAAAAGCAAAAGCAAACGGTTAACCAACTTAAAAGTCCCTTAGATATACAAACAGTACGAAGAAGTTCTCACTACTGAGATGAAGGGTTTTGGCAGGGTGAATTAGGAAAGATGCCTTTAAATATGTTCAGAATGAGTGAGAGATTGAGCAGGTGGGAAGGAGGTTTGGTTCTGGTTTCTTAAGTTTTCTATTAGACACTGACAATGGCCAGGAACCCTCTAGTTTGTAGAAGAAATTGTGAATGATGTGCTGCTGATACTATGAACGAGTGCCAGCTGGCATCTATTTTCTATCTAATGAAAAAGAGGAGCAAACATATGCCAAAATTGCAGATATTCTCATTCTATTCCCTGTGAATCTCCAGTAGATGTTCCTTTCTGGGCTGAGTGTGGCTTTTTGCAGCCCTTCCCAGGAGCTCCCTCTAACAGAGGGGCTGACCATCCGTTCCCAGGTGAATGGGATGCCCTAATGCTGGAAACATCATTTCCCACTGTGTTAAATTGTTTGCCAAACATAAACCCCAGACTAGCAGATTTTAATCTCTGTAGCGCAACCTGTTCTCTGTACACCTTCAGAAGCTGTATGTTTCTATTATGGGATGGATAGATGTTATCTAGGGTCTTTTGTGAGAAAACACGTGTTGTACTGACTCTGCAATCCCTGGGGCTTTGGGAGCAGCAGCCCCTGTGTCTGCGCTTCTCAGAGGTTCTGAGGGATCTCTGTTAGAAAGGGGAGATGGCACAGAGTGGTTTAGGGTGAGGCACAGGCCAGCAGCCAGTGTTTCACTGGCTATTTTTGCTCTGCTCTCTCAGTATAGGACAGACTGTGTGAAGAGCTTTCTGAGCATTTGACTTGCTTTTCTCTTGCAGTATTGGGGAAGAATACCTTTCCCAGGGGTATGTGGCTGGTCAGTGGCAGGGCCAAAAAGAGAAGCCAAATTTGCTGTCTGCAGAGCTCCACCGTGTCTCTGACACTTGGGTTTAGTTGCCATACACGTTCACATAGAAAATATTTTCATTTTCTGTGATTAGTTTCTCTGAGTTCTTAACATCTTTCTTCGCTTTGTCTTCTGGAGTATGTGCTTAAATGTCTCTTTAACACTATGAAAACAATCCCTTATGTCTTACAAGCTTGTTCTTGTTTTTATCCTGTTAATAAAATAAGCCACATGTTACAGTGGTGTTGGTGGAGTTGACAAGCCACACTCTTTCTGCCCGTCTAACAACATCGGATCCACTTCTCAAACCTGTAATTTTGTAACTACACATGCTTGAGAAAATCATTTTGTGGTTGTGTAGAAATAAGCACAAGCTCATTTGACTGCTTTATTCTTTTTTTCTTTTTATGTAACAGGTTGGTTGTTGGAGCCAGCTGTATCCTTTAAAAAAAAAAGCTGTGATGATTTGTGATTATAAGCAGCATCACTGTCTTCCCTATGAAAGCTCAGTTTTCAGAATTCCTTTGCTCGAGCCCTGTAGTTGGGTTGGTAATAAATAGTGATAGTTTTCTGTGCAGTAGCATCATGGGAGTTAAGGTCAGCTGAGGATAAATTCTCAGGATCTTAAAAGCAATGTTATCTATGAGGAAAATATTCTAAGGCTTTGGAGTTTTATCTTATGCAACAAAAGCAAGATAAAGATGTTGTCTGTGTGAGGAGAACTTGATATGATTAGGTAAAAAGCCTGCTGGTATGATGCTCTTTTAAATTGCATTTATCTGGAGTTATTGTTTGTATTTCCTTAACTGATTCTTCACCAGATGTTTCACTTGAGTGTGCTGGTTTTCTGACAGGCATTGGGTTGGACACTACAGTCATGATGAGAAGTATCCCGCTTCGTGGCTTTGATCAGGTGAGTGTGGAGTATCTTGCATTTCCTTATATATCAAATATATTTTAAGGTGTATTTGATTACTTTTGTCTCCTAAAGAAAAAGTGGTTTGGGCTTCTCCAAAGGTTTCCTAGCATGTGCTTTCTAAAAAGAAATTAAATAAATACTAGCTCTAGTTTTCCTATCATATCTCTTGATACCGTATCAGAAAAGTAAATCTTTTTTTCCCTCCTACTTAATTGAAAACAAGATTGGAAAGGTTAGGAAGCAGGACAGGGATTTATGCCACTGCTAAAAACTTTAGACTGTCTCTGAAGTACTCCTGCATTTCTGTCTATGAGTTAGAATTATTTTTAAAATAAATTATTTGACTTAATGTGAAAAAGTTCAATGTGAAGTTCATTCTGATGAATATAAATAAATTACTAAGCTGAAAGTTTATAGGAATCAGAAATCTTAACCTTACCACTTTCACAACAGTGGCAGTTATAACTAGGTTAAAAAAATTATATACTGATTTCAGTGGAGCTATCAAACCTAAGGTGGAGAAAATGAAAAGCAAAACTGTCCAGGCAGGGAAATGTAAAGAGAAAAAGCTAGGTTTCAAATTGGGAAAGATTTTGAGGAGCTTTATTTGAAAGTGTGAGTGGTCAAGATCGTGCCTCAGGCTTCGCACCCGCCGCTGAAGAGCTCCACATCTGTAGCAGCTGGAGCCCTGAGCAGCAGGGAGTGGAGCACAGAGGCTGTGTGTGGCACTCCATAAAGCATAAAACAGTATGGCTTTCTCCCAGAGCTTGATCCTTTGTAGGCAGGGAGACTGCAGTGGACACTTCAAAAGATAATAATAAAGATAAATATCGTAAAGATAATATAAAGAGAAAATAATTATATTTAGCCTGTAGCCACATCGAGTCTGATGGAAACTGGTTAGTGAGCTGTTGTGTTTCTGAAGAGATATAACCCTGCTGGTGCCTTTATATTACAGAAAGTTTTGTAAGCCAAGAGCTTGCGTGTAGTTGTTCTATGTGCGTGGTTTTGTGATATTTTCCTTTAAGTGATAAACGTGTTCTTTGACAAAATGCAACCAGAATCACAGCAGTCAAGTGCAATGACATCTTTAGATAAACCTGTCAGTGTGACACTTCACTCCTCAGCTGTGGTGTGGCGTTATTTCAAACAGGCTCTTAAGACAAAAGCATTATTTCCTTTTTGTAGTAGAACTTTCCAGGAAACCTTAGCAATTCAGTCATTGCAGAGAAATGGCAGGTGTCGTGGCAAAGGGAAATATTTTTCTTCCTTAGCTTTGTGAAAGTATTTAATTCTCATCAAGCTGCCAGAAAATGCTAATTATGGTATTGTTAAATTGAATATACTCTAGATGCTATTTTTGTATAAGCAACAAATTATTTAAAAGCAACTGTTTTATTCACATGCTATTTTACATTTTTAAAAATAATTTGAATATTCAGATGTCAAAGGTCCTTGGAGTGGAGTTGCAGGTCATAGTGGATTAATAAATTATCCTGTGTTGAGAATGCATAATAACTAAGTGACAAAGAATGTTTGAAATGCTCAGTCTATTTACTGGATGTTCATGAGGGTAGCTGAAGGAGGGCTTTGTGTTTAAAAGGTTGTATCTCTAAGAATAAACAATATTTTTTCCCCTACTCAACAGCAAATGGCATCTTTAGTAACTGAGCACATGGAATCTTATGGCACAAAATTTTTAAAGCAATGTTTCCCAACTAAAGTTGAAAAATTGGAGAGCAACAGATTGCAAGTCACCTGGAAAAATACTGACCTGGGCACCGAAGAAACAGATTCCTTTGACACAGTGATGTGGGCAGTAGGTAAACTTGATTATCTTAACATTTATTTTCAATGCTTTCCATTCTGAAACTGAAGTCGCCTCATCATGTTGTATGGGCCAAACAGCTCCCTCTTTTTTACATGACATTAAAGTTTAGTTACCTAAACAGTGATTTTATTTTTTTTTAATTAATTTCTTGCATGCCTGATGTGTTCACTTTTAGTCTAAAAACACATAAAAGTTGCAGCGAATGGAAGAAATCTGTGGTAACTATTTTTGCATGAGCTGCAATAAATGGGAGACCTCATGTGTACTAGAGGATGAGAGTGTGAATTCCAGCAGCCTCTGTGCTGCAGGTCGTGTTCTCTGACTCCACGCCTGACTTAAGCATGAAGCTGTTCTCTGCAAGTTCCCATTTATTCTGTTCAAGGGGCTACCATTTCTTCTAGGAACTGTTCTAAACTGTGCTGCAGTTTAAAGCCCTGAAAACTGTAGAATAATATTCATGAGGTGAGATGAAAATGTTTCCAAAAAGTGGGTTTCTAAATGCTGTGTCTGATTTTTCTCAGGCTTTCTGGTAGCTGTATGCTGAGGTGCAGTCACACCTGCAAAATGTCAAGTCATTTTGTTTACTTTTGTCAGGGATGGAAAAAATAGCTATTAAATTCAAATAATATGAAAAAAAAGTCCTGGTTTAGTGTTAATTATAATGGAATCAGGTTGCATGATACTCTATTGCAGCTCAGTTGTAATGTGATTCCACTCACTATTTTGATACAGAGGAACTACATGTATTATAACTTTTGTCATAGATAGAGTTACAGTCCATATTTAGAAACTGCAAACTGAATAGTTTGAGGGTTTGGGGTTTCTTGTGTTGACTTTTTTTTTTTTTTTTAGTGTCCAAATTGGCCCTCCACCCTGAAGGATTAAACACATTAACAGCCAAAGCTGGTTAATTGATGTGCAGTCCATATGATTCATTGTTTCGCTCTGTATCAACACACCCGCACCAGGTGTCTCAGATAATGGGCTGGGAAACTCGGTGGTGCTGAGGATTTCCTGCCAGCAGATGTGCCAGTTCCAATACTGATTGAAGAAAGGCAGCTTGTGGAGCTGCTTAAAAGGCAGCCGCTATTGTTAACTAATCGTAGCCTGAATTATAGTAGATATAGCCTTAAATTTTTTAAGCGCATTGTGGAATTTTAATAGGATTTTATGACAAATGTTAAAAATATTTACTGACAGTGGGACACAATTAGAGCTTGGTAGGCTACAGTATTATCTCTTAATGTAGGTGCTTTGAGAAAAAAATGTACATTGTGTTTCTGTGGAGAGGTTTTTTTGGTCTTTTGCAATGTGTCATTTTCTGTTTGTATGGATAAGCCAATAAAAGCAGGGCCAATGCACCCTTTGCTTTCCTAGCAGCTTTTTTGAAAAAGTCAAAGTATGTGAGGAAAAAAAAAAAAATCTCATTAATATCTCATACTTTGTAAACTAAGCAAGTGTTTCGAACATACCCAGGGATTGGTGTGACAGAGAGAGCAGGTAATGTGCTTTCCAACTGTCAACAGAAAGAGCAATGACCAGCAGCAGAGTTTGAATTTGGCTTTAGAAAAATAGTTTTATCTCTCAAGAGAGCATTGGAACAATTATTCTCAAGTTCCTTTGCATTCATAAGCTTAGAGGAAAGCCACTGTGTCTTAGAAATAATACCATCTTTGCTGTGAAAAGGAATTGCAACATTAGCTGGGTGTAAAGCTGAGCAGGTATCAGGTGTTGCACATCACGGGCAATCAAGGACATTGGCCTTTGTGTCAGGCTGGGCACTTGGCACATTTATTTTGTACTGCAGTAAAGTAAGATCCTCACTGTTCAATAGCAAGAAGGGGTTAAGTACGTAACTTTTATTTTTATAGTAGTTTTCTTCAAGTCTTACGACCAAATCGGTTTGGATTAACTAAGAAAACAGAAATTTTGTTTGGAGATTTTCTTTGAAAAGTCCCATATGGTAAAACACTGCTGTGATCTCCTGTGAGCATATCTCTGCCAGCCCCTATAAAAATGGGGATGGGCTTTAGAGCTGTCTTGGCAAACCAAATCTTCCCATCTAGTTTTTAACCTTTGAACTATTCAGTGAAAAATAATGCACCTTTTTTGATCTCAGACAACTGTTAGTGCTAATGTGATGTGGTTTGTTGGGGTGCTGGGTCTTTGTTCTGAACTTCCCATGTCTCTTTCTCATTAATTTTAATTTATTACTGTCTTGGTAAGCTGGGGTTTCTGCAGTCCTAATGAAAATTGTCATTCCCATTACATCAGCCAGTACTTCTAGGTTTTTTCCCCAATATCTAGTTTTAATGACATTCAGTCAGACTTTATTCAACAGGGCAATTTTTAACGTGCTAGTAATTTGTCTGCATTGAAAGAGGCCTGGATGGTACTTTTTCCTTCTTTTGTTTAACCCACCCATAAACTTTGAGTGTAACACTTATTTTATGCTACTTGTTTTACCAGCTTATAACTACAAAACCCACTTCCTTGTGTTGAGGAGAAGTTAGATGGTGGACTATGCCTCTCGTCTGCATGTGAGAAAACGTTTGGGATTCAGAACTGTAAGGTGCTATTTGAGTTATAGGTGATGGCCTTTACCTGATGGGTGCTTTAAATAAATAAAAAAAATGGTAGAAGATGCTCCAAAGTAATTTCATTAAACCAGTATAATTACTCTGACATTTTCTACAGAATACAGGTTCTGTTCACCCATAAAAGTCTAGGATTGCCATGTCACCATATAACCAGCCTGGCACGTGTCTGTGGCAGCCCCCATAGGAAACCATGTTGTTAGATGTAAAAGAAAAAACAGCTTTTGATTTTTTTTTTTTTTTTTTTTGGTAAAAGTGAGAAGCAAATGGGGGCAGGTCCTGAGAGCAGGGGGTCTGGATGGTTTTCACAGCTGTGTGGTTATTGTGTGGGTCTATTAAAGATGAGATTATGATGTGGTATTAAAAGTGCAGGAGTCAGGTAACCTTTTTAAGGGTCAGATTAGAATTGGCACATTTCTTCTAGTTGTCTGGCATAGTATCTTACAGAAGCAAATGGGGGCAGGTCCTGAGAGCAGGGGGTCTGGATGGTTTTCACAGCTGTGTGGTTATTGTGTGGGTCTATTAAAGATGAGATTATGATGTGGTATTAAAAGTGCAGGAGTCAGGTAACCTTTTTAAGGGTCAGATTATAAACTTTTATTTTTGCTTTCAGATTTTTTTTTTTTTTTCACTGGTTTGAATAAAAGCTAAATCTAGTGTCTTATGCAGTCAAACATTCCTTGTTCTGTGGCAGTTTCAGGGCAGGGGACACCTTCAAACAAAACACGTGTTGGCTTTAGGGGCTGGGGCCATCTCCGTGTTGCGTGCCTGCTAGGATTTGGTATGGTTTTGTATTGCCCTCTGGATTTTGGAAATAAGCCATAAACTCATGCATTTTTGAGGCTGTAAATGTAAAAAACTTAGGAGTTACAGTATGAAACAAATGTCCTTCTGATCCAATATTAGTGAGAAATGCTGAGAACTGATTCTATAATACAGGTAAGTGAATGCCAGGAAAAATCATCATTTCCTTAATTTGACATTGAAACTTGCCAAGACACATTGGATAGTCATGAACCTGAGCTACTGAATTTGAGGTGAGGATCAGCAAGTGGCTTCTGGAGGTGAGCCAGCGTAGGGCTAAAGGCCAATAAAGCTTCAGTTCAGTTTTTTTAAACTTTTATTTTTGCTTTCAGAAATAATATTTAGGCAGTAAAGTTGAGGGAGAAATTTCTCTTTGAGTAGCAACAGGTTTTTTGTAACCCTTAGCTATTAATACCAAGCTGTACACATGTTAAAATAGACTGGAATCGAAAGGTTAAGTGTTATCCTGCAGATTTGATAAACTCAGCTGTTGTTGTCACGGGTCTTTAAATGACTCTATTGACAGTTTTTTCTTTTTTTCCTCTGGCAGTGCCTGCCGTTGCGTGCTAAGCTTTCTCTTGGCTCTGCCTGGCAGGAAAAAGGGGAAACTAGAAAACCCCATTAGTTGTCCATTTGCAGAATATCCAGGCTTTACTCTCAATACACAAAGAAATACAACGGTAGGAAGTTGTTTCACATCCGAGCCAAGATAAGGTCCTGGAGGTTTATTATTTTTGTTGCCCGATAGCATCAGGCCTGGGGAGCGGGGGCAGAGAGGGAACAGCAGATCTGCGTCCCGCGGGGCCGGCGGGAGGGAAGACAGACAGATAGCCAAGTGCCGACAGCTTCAGTCACTGCTCCCAGAGGAAGTGTTGGTTTCACCAGATGAAATTAATACACAGAAGTCTTTACAGAGGCATTCAGATGTGACATTGTTTGGGAGGCCTGGCGATATGGCAGATGTATAAAGCAGTGAATCATATGTTTACATATAATTAGGTCTGTATTGACAAGCCAGGTTTTCCTTTTGTTTAATAATTTCCTACATTAACATCAAAGAGCTTGTTTTTATAATGAAAACACGTTTCCCTTTTTGTTTTGCTTTGCTATGGCTCTATATTAACATCAAACACAAAACCGTGACTCACGCAAAGGAGACCTATAAATGTAGCTGTAGATATAGATATAGCCTTAGTCATTTAGAGCCTCCAAAACGGATGCAATGTTATAAAATTTCCTTCATTTGGATATATTCAGGTAATCTTTTCTATACGCTCCTGTGTGTCCCTACAAATTTTGGGAGTACCTGATAATTTCACTATACTTATTAACCTTCAAATACATTTGAAAAATCAGATAGGATTTAAGATTCCAGTTTCTGGGTGAGGAATTGCTTTGTCAGATGCTTTATAGATAGCTGGGTGTAATGTTATCGAGACTTTAGTGGTGTAAGTGGTAACTCTATGCAGAAAGCACTACAAAAATATTTTTTAAAGATGAGATAATTTAAAATTGTTGGAGGAGGAAGCTGTAATAAAATCTAGGCTTGGTAGAATTTGCCTCTTTTATTTTTAAATCCATTTAAATAGTGTTTCTACACTCTAGGAGTACTGTTTCTAAACTCTACGGAAATAGCTAAAATACAGAGTTTGAGCTAAATAACTCGGCATTAAGGACTTGAGAGCAAAGTTGATAAAGTTTTTCATCCAAGCTGAGGGAACTAAAAAAGCTTGAAGATAAGTGTATCAGATAACAAGAAAAGAGGACTTCAGGAATGTTTAACGTTGAACAGCATTATTTTTGTCCACAAGTGTGCACAACAGGCTGTTGTTACTGTCGAGTCCCATTGGATTAATGTTTATTGGAAATTTTCAATGTAGAAGTTTCTTAGTTATTGTATGTGTGTGACATTAGGAAACTTTCCTAATGTTGGCTACATTAGGAAACTGAATTTAGAACATGCAATAAATCACGTGGAGTTTGCACTTTTTGCAGTGGGTGTTGTCCCGTGCATTTTTAAAGGATACCTTTCACTGAAACAGTCTGAGCAAAGGCAATAGCAATAGAGCTTCTTTCATGAAGAAATTCCTACCCCTGCTTTCCACCCTCACAGCTTTTCCAGTATGAGAACTGGACTATCAAATGGCACAAAGTTCTTAAAAGCCTCCAGTGGGGGATGCCATCTTTTTTAATTAACACTGCTGAAGTTTTTCAATGGTTTTAACTTTAATTTCTTTTTTTTTTTTTTTTTTTTTTTCCTTAAGGCCGAGCCCCTGACACTAAAACTCTCAATTTGGAGACAGTTGGAGTGAAAACTAATTCTGAAACTGGAAAGATCATTGTTGATGCCGCTGAAGCTACTTCTGTTCCTCACATTTATGCCATTGGAGACATAACAGAGGTACTGAGACTACATAAACTGTTTTACAATAACAGGAAGCCAACTTTGTTCCTGACTAATAACTAGTCCCCAGATGTCGTCATGCTCTAGCATATATCTTGGTGTTTTGCTCTTTTTCATTTTGCAGAGCTGTGGTGTTTGTGCCAACCACCTGGGTCAGTAATTTCCTTCACGTGGATCTTGTGAAGTATCTCAGCATTAGGGATTATTACTGATGTTTATCAGGGAATGCATCATTGGTCAGAGGCTAATAATAATGTCTTTATCACTTCAGTTATCTTTCTAATAATGTTTTTATCACTTCAGACGTATGACTTCATACTGCTTACGAATGCTGAGTGAAAGCAGTTCTTGCCTTCTAGAGCTGAATACTCTTACTGGGAATGACTGAGAAAAGTTCTGTAATTCCATTTTTAGTATTGTGGGGTTTAATTGAGACTAGTCACAAGACAGCATTTCTGCTCCCTGACACAAAATGCTTCTGACAAATGTATCTTCCTCTAGAATAAGAAAAACTCCTGTAGATACTAAATGCATTTGACTTCTGTTCGTGATTTCTGAGTGATTATGCCAAGTGAACATGAGGTGGTTTGGTTTGCGTTTGGGTTTTTTTTTTAAGGGAAGGGACATTATAACTTTAGCAAAATTACTTACTTATTCTAGATGCAAAACCAGAATTTTGTGGCCTTAATCTATTGCTATTTGATAGTCTTCAGTTATCTGTGACAAGAATGTCTTGTCTTGATCAAAGTGTACTCAAATACTTTCAGTCCCTCATTTCTCAGTTTACAGAGCTCAGAGTATCTCTTGTAAGTTAGCCATCTTCAAATATGTTGTCTTCATAAAAAATAATGTTTGTCTGGATCCTTAACTGTCCAGTTGCATCCAGGAGGGTGTTTTCATCACTACCAGCTGTTCCTGGGAAATGTGGGCACTGTGTTGAACGGAGGGGCTGGACACTGCAGGGTGCAGAGTCCTCTCGCTGGTTGTGGAACTGAATGGAGTCAAGCAATGCCTTCCTATCAAGATTGGTTTTGATATAGTGAAGGCATCTTTTTTTAAAAGTCTGGTAAATGTAAATACTGTAGCAATATCCAAAGACCATATATAGGTAGTATTATTTGGGAGAGCTTTAAAAGATTTCTCATTCTGCTGTGTTTAAAATGTTTTAAAGGTCTCCCCAATGTATAAACCCTACAGATGCTCAGGGTTTTTGAAGAGGTGTAACAGGTTACACAATGTTTTGGGAATAGCCCTGCAAATTTCTGACTGGACTCTGGAACTGCCAGGGACACTTAAATCTCATAAATCTGCTGACCGTTCCCGACCTCTTCCCCTCTGTGTAGACATATGTTTCTTCCTGTCTGTCTCCATCTTCATGCGAATGACTGGCCGTTTCCTTTTAAACCGTGTTAAAACTCTTTCCTGCTCAGCTATTTATCCTTTTTTTTTTTTTTTCCCCCCTTACTCTCCACAGCTTCTCAGTCCCATCCAGTCACTCGGAGCTCTGAGATTAGGGCAGTTTCTCTCTCTCTCCTCACGTCACACACAGACACAGGGTCCCTCTGTCCATGTCACCCCTTGCCCTGGGCTGTTCCCTGCACAGTGTCCTCCACCTGCAGGTCCCTGGTACAGGCCTCGCTTGGGCCTCCTGCTCTCCAAGCTTCTCTTTTTAATGCCATCCAAGCAGCAGTTGTTAGAGGCGATGCTGGCAGGGCCCTAGATTCTGTTGCTCATTTTGCTGCTAATCTGCAGTGTTATCTTGGGCAAGTAATTTCCTTTTGGGTGCTTTTTTGCCTTTTGCCCTTTGAGGATTTAGTTAACTAAGAAATACGAAGCTGGAGGCAGGATGCTCTCCTCTTTCCTACTCGGGATCTAAAAAATCATGTCTTCATTTATTTGTCATTTTCATTTTGTTGTTAAAACTTGGATTTCCTTTTCCTGCTTTTGTCCTTATTAGTGCAGACTTTTGAACTGGAGTTGTTCAATAGGCACTTTTAAATGTAAGTGTTAAAAACAGCAACATAGTTCTGTGCTGTGTCCAGTGAACAACTGGGGAAGAACTGAAGAGTTAAATCAGTGCTCTGTAGAAATACTCTCTTAAGCTTTTATCTGCATATGAGCTCAATATAGTGTATTAAAGAAGTCGCAGTATAGTACTCATGTATTTATAGAGTTTAAAGATAGAAGAAATTATTGGCATTATCTTATCTGACTCCAGTACAATGTGAGCCGTGTAATTCCACTTGCTAAGCAACAAAGCTTATTTTATCTGAAAATTAAATTAATTTTGTCCATTTTTAAGCAGAATCAATTTAGATAATAAATTTCATTGGCATGGGAACCACCAGCAAAAGAAAGTTCTGTGTTGATGCACATCTCAAATGCACCCAGAAGAATGAAGTGCATTGGGGTAAGAACCACAGAGCCTGGTGTGGGATACTCCGGGAGAGACCTACCACAAGAGCATGGGAAGGGGAATCTTGTTTCCTGTGAATGAGCATCACTGATCCCCAATATTGCTTATAGGAATACGATTTTTTTTTTTTTCTCCAGTGTTCCTGCTCACGATTCCTCTTTCCTTTGCTCTCTCCCTGGAAGAGTCTTTTTGCTCCGAGGAAGTGCTATTGCTCAAACCTTTGCAAGCAGTTCTCAAGCCCTCCTGCTCCCTCCTTTACCACACCCTGCTGAATAGACACTAAATTGCTACCAAATAGCAAGAACTGTTTTTTTTATTTATTTTTTTTTAAGGCAGTGCCCTGGCTGGACAGGGAGTGAGAGAGGGGAAAGGCTGCTTTCCTGATGTGCTCAGAATGACATTCATTCGGGAGTCGTACCCAGCTGGCACAAATGGGGAAATCCGTGTACATGGGTGTCTTGTTGCACCCTTGTATGGCAAATGGAATCCTAATGTTATCCAAGCTGTTCATTTAGAGAATGGGGGGAAAAAAAACCCTTACAGCCAGTTTGTCTACTCTCAAAAAAAGTTTTTCAAGCTTTGGCAAAATATTCTTTTCAACTGACAGGTGAAGTTGCATTTAGGCATTTTCATCTTCTGTAACCAGGATGAGGAAGACCAAGCTGGAATTTTATTTTGATTTTTTTTTCCCAGTGCTAATATAACCTCTCTGTGTTAAAATTCTTCCTCCAGTAGTATTCTTGTTGAAAAGCATGGCACACGCTATAAAGAAGTTTTCTCAGAAGGAGGTTTATCATATGGTCATGCCACTATACATCTGTCATATTTCAAAGGGTGTTATAACAAAGATGTGTGGAGAAGGTGGAATGTACAGTATGTTGCTTTGAGTAGAAATAAGACCAAAAAGAGTTGTGTTAGAACAAATACACATTACTTCAAAGCTTTTTAAACTCTCTTAGGAGCCATCTCGTTTAAATGTATAATACATTGGAGGATTCTTATGAACAATTTGTATCCATAATAATCAGCAGAGTAGTTCTACACATGACTGCAAAGTGAATGTTCATTTCAAATATTTACCGACAAAGGTCTTTAAGTCATTGTTTATGAGAAATTGGGCTTTATCTGCATGGATGTTTTAGTAATTAGTTGGGTTTTATGGAATGCATGGTAGTGCTTTCACAATTTTATCTCTCGTTCCAATCTTCTATTCATTTCTGGAATGCCAAAACAACATCTGTATTTCCTGCTACAGAAATGATTGGCAGCCATGTTTCAGGCAAATGTGTATAAGAAAAAACAAATGGCAAATTTCATCTGGTAAATGACATTTACAGACTTGAAAGTCAAAATGCTGGATTTGAAAAACCATAATTTGATGGATCTTAGGCAGAAAAAAGGGGTAGACTTGAAGTTTTGTGATTTATCGTAAGCCATGGGGAAAAATAGATTAGTCTTCATTAATAATTAGAATTGTAGTTTCTGTTATAAAGTTAGACATAATGTTTCAGTTTGGTTTTTTGCAATGGAAGTTTTAAGTGGTTATTAATAATGCATATTAATGTGCAGATACTGGTATGTGCACTGAAGTAAATGATAGCTAATACCATGTACAAAATCTATCCAGCCACATTCAGAACAGATAAGCTGGGAAAGAGGAATGGATTGCAGTAAATGCTAAAGAACTTTAGCATAATGAAAAAAAGTGTGAAAAACTTGAACGTGTTTGGTGGGGAATCCTTATTTTCTGCTGAAGGCTGGTTTTGAGGGCTTATTGGATGACGACCTCCAAGTGGGGCTTTGCAGGAGCGAGACAAGTGTTGTATCTAGATAGGACCTGTAAGAATCAAAACTGCACGTGTTTTATAAAGCCTGGTTTTCAGTTACATTTTTCTTATGTCTCCATATCATTTCTTCTAGATTTGTGACCTCTTTCCTTGTCTCAGACAAGCATCTTGATGACATGTCTTGAGTAAATTCTTAAATAATGTTTTTTACTAGGTTTATGAAGTTTGTTATATCTTATTAACTTACATGGGCTGTTCTTCCTCAGACTTCAACAAATTCCTTTGCAAATGCCTGACTTCAATTTGCAAGAACTTCCAGCTTGCTTAAGACTAGCCCTGGAGTCCCGATGCTCCGGCGGTGTTGTGCCTGCACTCAGGACTGGGGTTCTGGCACCCTGCAGAGTCCTTGTTGGATATAAAAAGTAGCTTGGACTCATGACTTGAACTGGAACGTGTCTTGGTCATGTCCTGCTGTCGTTCCCTTTCTCACTTGCAGGAAGTTCACACTTGCCAATAGCAACCCTTTTTGTGTCCCTCTAATCCAGAACCCAAGACTAGGACCAGCTCAACCCATAGGTTCCACTTCTCCGATCCAGAACCAACACAGAAGTCAGTAATAGTGCCTACAAATACTACCTTGTGTGTCTGTGTTCTGTAAAAATGTGTCAGATCACTTTTTTTTAAAAAGGTCTGATGTTATAAAAACACTGTTGCTTTAAAAAGCTTCTTCTGCTTTAAAAAGACTATCTGAAAAATTTCTTGATGACTTACTCTGTAAAGAAAGGGGGAAATGAATGGTTGGCACGTGAATACCCTCTGCTTTTCAAGGGGTGAGGTGATAAGATAGAAGGTTTTGACCTTCATTCGTGGCATTTGTTTCCCTCCCCATCAAGACGCATATTACACTCAGAGACTTAAAAGCACGTTTGGACAGAAATTACTACTGCCCTCTCTACTTGCAGTGCTGGCTACTAGGCTGGAATTCCAAAGATTTGGCTTTCCTCTGACCATTGTCCCAGGAGAAATCCTTGGATGCTGCTTCTCTTGGTTAAAACAAAGCTTTGTGCTCTCTCCTAGGGCCGTCCTGAATTAACACCCACAGCAATAGCTGCAGGAAAGCTGCTGGCTCGGCGTCTTTTTGGCCAGTCTTCAGAACTGATGGACTATGACAATGTGAGTTGTTATTTCGTTTTTCAACAATAAAAAGCAATTCTTATGCTTTTTTTTTTCCCTTAAGAATTTTTAAAGGCATTGCATTTTGTCGTCTGGAACGCAGCGTTGACAGTAGCCAGAGCAGATGTGTGTGATGGAGCCGCACTGCTCAGTCATGGACAAGTCTCCCCCGTGTCTGTGGGGCAGCAGCTTCCCCTGGTTCATCAGACCCACTTTGTGTTTCCTCCCGAGCAGGTACCTACGACAGTTTTCACTCCCTTGGAGTACGGATGTGTTGGACTGTCAGAAGAGGCGGCCGCGCAGAGTTATGGGTCAGATAATATTGAGGTAGGAAAACATTTTTTTTTATTTTACAGTCCGTGTTGGAGTTGCACTGTGAAAAGACAGAAGTTTCACTGTTGTATCAGGCAAAATTTTTGGTGCCCCAAAAATACTATGTTTGCAGTTAGGGAGTTGGTGTCTTCAGGAAAGTTCAGGACTTCAAAAGTATTGCAGCAGGTCACAATGGAAACTGTTACCCTGTGGGCAAAATCCTTAATGAAAAAATAAGCATTTATTATTCAGAATACAAAAATTACAGTTTGGGTTATCTTGTAGTCTACGTTATTATAGATATGGAAAACTTCCTGGATTATTGTCAGTAAACAGGGTGTTAAACTTCTGGGAGAAACTTAAAGGAACAAAACTAACATTTTTAATTTGGGGTGCTGGTTTGAGTAACATGATTGTAATTTTTTTCAGTTTCGTTATTAATCTAATGGTTCTATAATAAAGGTTTGTGTCAAACTCTTATTGTGCTTTCCGTATTTTTCTTTAAAATAACGAACAGGCTATAAATAAATCAATTTTTGTATACAACATTATAATTATGTAGTAGTAGTCGTCATTATGATACTAAATGGAAGGTTTTGACATAATAGAACTCTAACACAAATTGTTATTGTTTTCCCTGCCAGGTCTACCATGCGTATTATAAACCTTTAGAGTTTACAGTGGCTGAAAGAGATGCGACTCAATGCTATATAAAAGTGAGTGTTATGAGCTTTTAACTTGCTTTTAAGTTAAAACAAGAGATATGGTTCAGCCAGCTTTAAGGAGGACTCTTTGGCAAAAAAACTTCACAAGATGGATGAGATATTTTCTTGGTGACAGTCTGTTTCTCTAGTGTAACTTCAAATGTTTAATATTTGTTACATATCCTATTGCATCTTGAAATTGCTTTACCGATATTAGCATTTTTCAAAGCTGACATTTTGCTGATCTTTGAACTGCTCTTAAGGTCCTCAGAAATATTCCAAATTCTATAGAGATTAATCTCTGCTTCCCCCAGCAAAGTTCTTAACTAGTTATTATGCATAATATTTGAGTTGCCATCTCTTCAGGAAAGTACACTACCTTCAAAAATAATTAGGCATAAGGTTTAAAAACCTAGAGTAACTGCTCAGTCTTATTCATGAAAACAAAAATGTCCCGGTTTAGACCAAAGTGTTGGAGTTGAAATGTGTCCAGTTGTTTCAGTGTTGAAAAGGTTTTTGATGCACTTGCCCATAGCAGAGTATCTTAGATAAGGTGAAATGTACTGTTAGTAGAATTATTTTTTTTTAATTTTATGTTATTTTTCTTTCTATTCTCCTCAATATCAAGGAACAATCTTTTTTTGAATAAACATAGCAACTTCTGTAAGGCCATCACAAATTATTATGTTGTTATTGTTGTGTTATGTGAGAAATATCCTTTGTCAATGGTTGCAACCAGTTTTTCTAACTATATTTTGTCCTATCTAATTTGTGTAACTGCCTTGGTAGCTTACCTTAACCCTCCGAGGATCAGTGCAATTAAGGTGATGCTATTTCTTTTTAGCTATTGCCTTTAAATTATGTCAATTTAAGTAAATATTAGAGTGTGAAGTAGTAATAGCATAATAGTTGTTGGGTGATATTCAATATAGTCCTTACTAAACTCCCAAACACATGAAAAAACATCAAACTGGAGAGTTGCAAACTCTCCTGCAAGAGGTTTGTTTTTTTTAAACCTTCTCAATATTCAAAGTACCCCACCAAGATCACTGCTGTTCCTGGGATTCCAAATCAAAGCATCCAAAACTTCACTGAGTAGCAGAATCTATTAGATTAATGATGATGATGCTTGATGGGAGGGCACAGGGAGAGACTGACTTTCTTTTCATAATTATAAAGATGGTGGTCTTAGAGGAACTGACAAGTTTTCATTAAGTTCTCTGGTGGCAGTTCAGTGTGCAGCGACTCAGGCCCTCCCAGATCATTATGAACTCACCTTCTTCTTTGGCCGCTTCCAAGCTTGACTCCTTTTCAGGTTTTGTGGCTGAAGTGACAGCTGTACCTCACCAAACCTGCTGCTGTAAGCGCTCACGGCCTGAGTCACCGTGGCAGAAAATGTCCAGGAATTGGTGGTGGGCATCGTTGGCAGTACAGCTCATCAGCTGCCCAGAGGAACGGGCTTGGGGAACTGTAAAGTGGTTGTTCAGCATCAAAATAACACTAGTCCAGTTACTAGACTACAGAAAGTATTTTAAGGATTTCATACAAATGACAAACAACAAAGTATTCGATTTACCAGAAATGATTGTTAGTGGCTCCCTGAAGTCTGACAGAAATACACTAATAAATCTTCCATTCAGGAAAGTGCTTAAGGACAAGCGTAAGAGCTATTGAAGTCAGTGAGACTTAAGCAAGTGCGTAAGTTCTTGGCACCCGGGGAATAAACAGCTGAACTAGGATCTCAAGGCACTTCAGTTTCATTTAATTCAACTTCATGCCTCAAATGTTCTAAGAAAAGATCTCTGTGTAATGTATTGTTTTCAGATGGTGTGCTTACGGGAGAGAGAGCAGCGAATACTTGGCCTTCATTTCATTGGCCCAAATGCAGGAGAAGTTATTCAAGGATTTGCTCTTGGAATCAAGTAAGTACAAAAGAATGTCTCTAGCTTCTAAAGCCTGCTTTTTAAGTTTTTGTAAGATTATAAAAGATAGCTGCCTAGTTTTGGCAACACTATAAAGAATCCATGCTTTTTGTTACTTTTATGTAGTATTGCACATATTTTCACTAAAAATACTGCAGTTCTTCATTAAGATGTACTGGATTTAGTTACTGTAATACTGGATATAGTTAAGGAACAACTGAGGAAAGTATATTGTTGGCTTCGTATAGTTAAAGCAAAAAACAAAATTGTGCATTAACTCACTAATGTTAGTTTTCTCAAAGTGTAGCTGCTTCTGCATTCTGTGCACAGGATGGGAGATCACTGTGGAGTTTTGCAAATCATTTCTTTAAAAGGATACTTGTGTTTTTCATAAAAACCTTTCTTTACACCTGCCAAGCATTTCCGTTCCTAATCTCATCTTTAAATACACGTAGCCGTTGCTTGTCAAAAGCTCAGCAAGAGCTTGCATGAATTTTAGTATTTCTGGAGTATAAGCTAGCCATAATGTGATAAAGTAAAAACCTCCGTAGGGTGATGGGAGAGGGGAGGTACTTTTGTCTGGAGCTGTCTCATAACTGCAGTAAGAAACTTAACCACAGAGGTGAACATTTGTGATCTGATTGGGTTTGAGATTTTGCGCAAATATTCATATAGAAGCCCTCTCTTTGAAGGAGTAAGGATTCTGGGTCCTCTCTGGTTAGATGGAGAATTCCTGCTATTCCTCATGTGCTACAATTATTTTTTATTTGTGTTTTCATTTCCCTTCTTACTGCTGATTCACATCTTCACAAATGTTAATTTGTGTATTTACATTACTTTTAACTCCTCTCTGAGGAAAGTAGGCTGGGACACAAGAAATCACCTCCAAGTATGGTTTTAGTTCATTTTCCTAAGTGTCATCACCATTCGATTGCAGTTTTAGCCTTACAGTTGTGAGTGAGAAGCATAAATGAAAAGCAGAAAGGATTAAGAAGGCAGGACCAAGAAGTATCATGTGAGGAATCTCTTGGAAATCGCTGATTGCAGTATACCCTCAGTGCACACTTTCAACATGTGTTTGTAGTCCATTAATTGCCAGTGGTATAGATTCTAGAACTGCATTTTTTTTTAGGATGTCATTGTTTTGAAGTTTTATCCAAAATAACCAGTGAAGAGGAAGCACATGAAACTGGAGTGCTTTTCTGCCTCGCCTGAGGGAAACGAAAACTTCAGCCACAGTGAGGGGTTTTCAGCAGGTCAGGTTCTTGTATTGGCTTCTATTGTATTTCACAAATCCAGAGCTCTCAGTGAAACACCCATTGTAAGAGCTGCTGTTCTCCTTGGTCAGATGTTAGTATTGCTTCAGCCTCTCCAAAGGATGATTTTCCATTTTCCCACCCTTCTTACTACTCCGGTAACATCTGTGCTCAGCAATGACTTTTTGCTTGTTGGTGCTTTTTTGGATGTGGATGGGAACACCAGAAGACATCTGTGGTGCTCTTCCCTGTGTTTATAGAGGGAGAGAGTGTTATTCCATAGGGAGCTTGAAACAATTCTTAAATTTAGGGCCATTTCAGCTATTCTTACAGCAGGACCTGCCAGGAATAGCAGCTTAAAGGAAAGTCATCAATTCTAAGAACGTTATTGGATACGTAAAGGAATTAAGGAAGTGGGATTTTTGCTCAAGGGTTTTTTGGTGGTGGTGTGTTTTGGTTTGGTTTTTCAAATGAGAGATTTTTTTTCCTCCCACTTATAACATTGATAATTTCAGTGTAAGCACCAGGCTTTCTCTAAGATCATGGAATAAGATTCTGGTATTGTTTCCTTCAGCAGATTCTTGCCAGCAGTTCTAATTAGATTTTCTTTCTCTGTGTGTATGTGTGTGTTTTTCCATCTGGAGTCTCAGTGAAACACACATGTACGTACAAGAAAAGCTGAAGGCTGCAGTTTTGTCGTGTTTTTGCTATAGGCTCTGTGGTGACTTGGGATAAATTGCTTAATTCTCTCTGTCTCAACTCTTCTGACAATTCTTCCCTACCTAACAGTGTAGTGAAGCTGGCGTTTAAATGTTGTTGTGTAGGGGCCTGAGAAATAATAGCATTGTCTGAAGAATAAATGCAACTCCTCTACCCGATCGAATGGAAAAGAGCAGTGTTACTTCAATGTTTTAGGACATTCTACCTGCTTCAGGTGAATAGGGTTTGACTTTGTGGATCTTTTTTTCTTGGTAGATGTGGTGCTACGTATCCTCAGCTCATGAAGACAATTGGCATTCACCCTACCTGTGCTGAAGAAATTACCAAGTTGCACATCACAAAGCGTTCTGGCTTGGATGCAACAGTTACAGGCTGCTGAGGTTAAATACCATCCCTGGAAAGAAGGAAAAAAAAGCACAAAATATATTTGTAAAGAAAAGGGGCACTTAGAGTTGGATCAGCTTTAATGGTTCAAGTTCCAGGAAACTTTCTTGTTCTCCCTGTAGACAGGTTTTTATCATCACTGGACAAGGAAATGGTCCTCACACCATCACGGTTCTAAACCCAAGGCAGTTCCCTGTAACAAATCTCTCTCTTCCCAAGTGCCAACAGCTCTTCTCTTCCTGGGAACTAAGGAATAATCACAGTTTTGTACATGTAAATGTAACTGAAGCCAGTGACATCTGAGGCCATCTACAAATTAAACAGTTGTCAGTTGGGTTTCTCTGTTGGCACGACTGATGGCCAACAGAAGTGTTTCCCATAACGTTCATACAACGGCAGGAGTCGGACAGGGCCTCCCGTAGAATTTTGGGGATGGTGCTTTCTCCGGAGCACTTGGGTATAGCTCATCACCGATCCTAATCTTGGACACTGAGGCTCAGTACTCACTAGTAGAAACACGTTCCCAGAGCATGAAACAATGGGTAAGGAATCATCTTTGGGTTTTTTCTTTAAAATGTAGTACATACAGGAATTTAATAGAAAATCACTTCTCACTGAATGTGCTGCTACTGGATGAATCCCAGTGGATCAGTCAGTGGCAGCCTGCTCATAACGTTATGGTGATGGCTGGGAATGAATGAGCTCAGAGGTGCTAAAGGAAGAGATAAATTTGATGGTGACTTCTCTGCCTACTCTTGAAATTTCTAATTCTGTTCAAATTCAGTTGACGCATCTCACAAATTACTGCTTGAACACCATATATTAAGCAGTGCTGACAAGTGGAATCAAAACCACTAATAATCCAACTCATGCAGCATTTTCCGTTTAATGAATGCAGAAATCTGGCTGACACAGTGATATATTTTTTTGGTTTGATTTTAAGATTTCCTCACTGATGAGCTGGATGCTACATCTGAATAGATTTAGGTCTGGCTTTAATAAAATATGTTACTGAAGGGAACTATATTAAACAGTGATCTAGAGAGGAAATGGTCCTGCTCAGAACAGAGAGACAAAATAATTATCTGCAAACTTTTTTTTCCCCACCCCCCGGAGTATTGGCCAGAATAAGAAAGCATTAATCTGTTGCAAATTTCTGCTTATTTTCCTGCTATCCAGAAGGGGGAGATGCTGGCTAATTTCTGGCAATAAAGAAACAGAAATCTGATAGTGAAGCTTCTCTTGCAGAACCCTGTTAAATAAGTATCTTGACAAAGACAAACACAAACCAAACTGCGCTGAATTTCAATCCCAGTTGCAGTGCCCTGTTAAATAAGTATCTTGACAAACACAAACCAAACTGCGCTGAATTTCAATCCCAGTTGCAGTTGCCAACATTTTTGTAGGTATAATCAAATCATTTCTTGCACCCTTTCCAGCAGAGTAGTGCATTGGGAAAAGTGATCAGCCTGAAGTGAAACAAAATGTGTCCTTTTTGCAGTTAATTTAGATCAGTGCTTTTGTGTGTGGAATTGGATGTTTTCGTAGCTGTCCTCCTTGTTGCAGTTTGGAAGAATAACCTGATGATAAGGTATATCTTTGCTGTTTTTTCTTTGTTTATTTCACTGCTACAACGTGTAACATGGACAAATGGTTGGTTTACTTCAAGTGCAAAATCTGGGGTTTTTTACCCTGAGAATTGTACCTGTCAGAGAAACTGTTAGACAAAAGGTGATCAGACCTCCCTGTGATGTAATGGCATTTATCACACTTTCACTGATACTAGAATACTCTATTTTCAAAGATTTGTTCTGATTTGAACAGAAACAAAAGAAATTGTAAATGCTTTCTTTACCAAGTTTCCAGATTTTTGGTCCATGTTTCCAGTCTGTAAGAGAGGAAGGAATTTGACAGCCAGGGGCATCCCTTATCAGATCTGCTGGTGCCATTTTTTGTATGTGAAGTTATCCATAAGCGTGTAGTTTAAAAGAAATACTTTGGGTGGAAGTGTAGTTGAAACATTGCCTGAATATTGCAACTGCCTTTAGAAGGAATGATTGAAAACTTTATATCTGTATATAAATGTGTGCATACCTGCACCCTCAGAAGTTCCCATTTCCTTTAATAAATGTCTTACGAGTGAGACAGCCAAAAACCCTGCTAGTTTTCCCAGCTCTTTACACGCATGCACAAAAAGTTCATAGTAAATTAAGTTTTGCTCAATATTTCAAAACATTGAGATACTGAGCATCATGAGACAGCCAAAAACCCTACTAGTTTTCCCAGCTCTTCACACACACAAAAAAAGTTCATAGTAAATTAAGTTTTGCTTAATATTTCAAAACATTGAGATACTGAGCATCTCAGTCTCCAGAGATTTTGCTGTGAGGAACACCCCACCTCTGTCTGAACTGTAATGTGTATTCTTGCAAGATTTTTTCTTCCTGGCCATTACCTATTGCAGTTCCTTTCTTTTTTTTACGCATAAATGAAACCATTGGTGATAAGCCATGTGAAAGCTGCTTCTCCTCTCTGTCCTACCAGTGCATCCAGCAGATCGAGCTGTCTGTCCCTACAGACAAATCAATGGAAAGAGGAGTTAATTTCATTTATCATAAAGTTCAAAATAGTAATTTGGGATAACAAGTGAAGAGATCTCAAGGAAACATGGTGTATGTGGGGTGTGGGACTAAGGCACGCCATCCTTCTCAGAAGGAATATAGCTCTCCTGGGTTTAGAATGGCTGAGTGGACTGTGTGAAAATTGCTCCTGTGTCTTGAACAGCAGCTGCGTTCTGTTCCTCATTTCCTGAAGAGGTTGTTGTCCCTTGAAGTAAAACGAAACACCCATTCACAGCGTCAGAGGCAACAGCCAGGGAATAATGACAACTACTGTGATTGTGCTTTTTTTTCCTGAAGGATTTGCCAGGGATGGTCGTTAAGAGTTGTTTTTAAAAGCCTGACTAACATCAATTGAAATGACTGATATATGCTGCAAATTGCTGATTATGTGTGGAAAAATTAAAAATAAAGAAATAGTAGTCAGGCTTCTTCTCAGGATGCCAGCGGATGAAGGCTCGTTTGTCAAACCACACCGTGGTGCGAACGAGTCTGAGCATTGCTGGGTCCCTCATATGTGTGATCCCAATATTTATTGTATTGTGAATTAACTAATTAATAAAGACAATTTTTTTCTAGTAAATGTTTGATTCTGTTCGTTTAATTTTAAACATATGGCTTCTGCTTACAAAAGATTTCTTTTTTGATCTTAATGCTGTTCCTCTTGGTTGAGGTATGTGTTAAGGAAACAAAGAAAGAAATAGACTTAGACCTTTTAAAAAGGAAACGTTGATACCTCTCTGATGTGTAAACTGAAAAGCCAGGGAGATTATTTCAGGCTGGATTACCTTCTTCAATTTAAATTAAGAGAACCTCTGGCCTCGGTAAGTATAGTTTCAAACACTCTCCTGTTTATTCCATCTGCTGAGGTCTCACAGGTATTTTCCTGGCCCATGTGTGTTGGTTGACGTGCTTCCCGAAGGCTCGGCAGGAGTAGGCTCCCTTGAAATACAGTGCAGTGCAGGTGTTAGAGCTAAGCTATTCTGTATCAGCTGCTCACTTTGGGTTTTCAACTAGAACATGTGGAAAAAATGCATTGGGGCAGAGCCACTGGGTAGCTATGGGTACTGTTAAGTCAAAGTGTTGGAAAAATGAATTAGGATATAACTAGCAAAATGTATTTAAATACTCTGAGAAACTTCTCTGTCAGAAAAGGACTACATTGTTCAAATTTCTTTCAATTTTATTTCTTTAAATCCACTTATTTTGATGAGAAGTTCCCATTAAGTCAGGTGACACTGAGATTCTGAAACAGGCTGGTTCAGTATTACCTCAGTGTTTGCCCTGGACTTGATACTGAGCAGGAATATTGACTTTATTTTATTTGAAGGCATTTTTATTTCAGCATTTTTAATCTGTTTTAATTTCCTTGAATATTTCATTGCAGGTTCTAACTAATTAAGATAGCTACAAACAATGGCTAAAAAAAGGAATAAGGTAAGCATAATTCTTGCTGTTTTTTTTCCTCCTTATTTTCAAAACAAGAATAATAGACAAGCATATAGACAATAATCTTTATAAATTAGGAATTGAATATACTGAATTATTTATATAATACCTCATGATAGCTTGTTCTCAATACTGTGGTATGGTGTACAATTAATTTTGCCTTTTGGCATGCACTGTATATCGTTCTACCTACTGGAAAATGTTCCTATAGTTTAGATTATTCCAGACCAGGAGCTGGAAAAGATACCTCAGTGCAGCAGATACACATTTTTTTGCTAGCACGGTTATTCTGATAAAAACATAGATGCTCTAGTGCAACATATTTCTAACCAAAACAGTTGCACATTGTACAGACGTTTGAAGGCTTCCCTTCAGAGCCTCCTGCTATCCAACAAAGTAGGCAATTTTGTGCCCATATGAATTGCCATTTGTCTAAATCCTGGTGAAATTAATGTACTCAAAGTTAATGTTAGTCATTAATTTGAGTGGGATGCAAGTATGTGTCTTAAGTGCTTTATTAAAGGGGAATCGATATAAGCATATGCCAAAACGTCTTTCATTGTTACAGTTGGGGAACAGAGTGCAATTATGATTCAAAACATAAAAGGTACAATAGACATCTATGATTAGGCAATGAAATATGCCTTTAATAAGCATAGTGCAGACAGTTTGTTTTGCAATAAGTAAACTTGTATAAAATTCATTGACTTTTTCATTCTTTCAGGTCTGCGCGCTCTCTTTTAAGAGAGGTTTTTTCGTTTTATGCACAAAGTTTTCCTGATGTTCTTCCAGCAGAAAGGCTGGGTTTGCGTGCATTTATTCCAGTGCCAAACTTGAATTTCACTGGGAAAAGAGGAAAGAGCAGAGCAGACCTTGTTTTTTCCAGGGCAGTGTGCAACAGATATGGTGTAATTACTCTAACTGATTTTTTAAAAATGGAGTATTTCTGTCCACTACATGTCAAAGAACTAATTATGTTTCCGTCGTGGCACTCAAAGTCAATATTGTCAGCTCTTCTTAGTTCTAATCCTCTACATTGAGTTTTGATGGGCCAGGTGAAATATCCCCTTCAGCACCTTACTGCAATTCTTGTCAATCATCCTGCCATGAAAAACATGGGCTTTACAAAGGCTTTGGCAACACTGCATCTGATTTCAGTCTTTAATCTTATATGCACCTTAAGAAAACACCATTCCAACTACTGACATTCTGTTTGGGACATGAATGGGATCCTGTTTGCTGTGGGAAACAAAAGAAAATGATCTAATCTTTAATGGATATAATGGAATTCTTTGGCCATCCTAGTATAAAGGCTTAATATTAAACCACTGATCTATGAAGGAAACAATTAGGATGGTGAACTGGTGCAGAAATTAAGCGGAATACTTCATGTGAATAAGTAAGAAAATGCATATTTATTTATTCATCCTTTAATTGTAAAATACCTTATTTCAGGCACTGCTGGAATGTCTTCTTTTGTAACCCCTAGACTTCCTTTGCAAGGAGAGCTGCTCACCGAGGTCCATCGCTCAGTGTCATACTCTGCGTGTCATTTTTATTGTTGTTTCTTATAGGCAAGATCTGGCACATCTAAAATCTGCTGGCCTTACAATGGAAAATTAACATCATCCCTAAGAAACTGGAATATAAACTAATAAGGCAGGTTTCCAGAGTCTGATTGCATCAGTCAGAAAGACAGAGTGTGAAGGGAGAAGTGGATGTTCCCTGGGGGTGGTGTGAGACGGAGACCGATCCTGTTTGAACAGGGCGCTCGGTGTCGATTGCTCCGTGGGGCTCCTGGGAGCTGCAGCCTGTCAGAACCAGCGTCTCCGAGGAGAGGGTGGGTGGAACTTTTCCAGGTAAAAGTCTCAGCAGTTTGGGGTAGAGTATGTCCGATATACTCATGCAATAATTTAAGGAAACCCTCTATACTCCATGAAAAACGAACTGTAAAGATACTCACCCTTTTTGCATCTCCTCCCCTGTTTTCCTGCGGATCCTATGAAGACCAGAGAGACTGCTGGGGTTTTTCCTGTCCTTCTTCCCTTTACTTTAAAGCAAGGTGGAAATCAGGCTTGTTCTTCCTTGGTTCGGCCAAGAACGGAACAGTAAGATCCCTCGTCTTAGACCTTTCACGAGGAGTTATCTTTTTCCCAAGGCTATGGGAGAATTAGCTAGGTGGTAACATAACTTGAACAAATCTAACCAAAAGGACTCTAGATACTTGCTCAGTCTTTATCTATTAGA